TGACCCACCGATCCTGGAGTTGGGAAAAGTGTTCACCTGTGCCGTCCCCGCGTGGCTAATTACTCCGCCTAGGCGAAGTCTCAGCACCGATTATGGAAGGGGAAGGTCATTGCACTTATTAATGGGCTGGGGGCCAGTAAACCATGATTCAAGTAGCTCACCTCTTGTTCCGGCGATCGTGTCTCCTTCTTCAAGACTACTTCCTGGGAGTCGTCTCTTCGCTTCTATTGGCAAGGTTGGCGGATCTCAAGACGAGAAATGATAGGAACAGGGATGTGGCGGATTGAAGCGAAATTTTTCTAGCTTTTTTACCGTCACCAGGGAGTCATGCTTCGATTCCAGGTGGCCGCCAGGGTGTGGAGTTGGATTCGGTTGACAGTAGGTCATTTTTAACTCAAATTCACTGTCACAAAAGCGACGGGTTCGCATCTCGCTCTTTGCAATAAGAAATACGTCAGGCATATGAGGGCAGAGTTCGTCGATCTAACCTGATTGCTGGGCGTCAAGATGTATTGTCAGTTTGCCTTGGAGCTCTTGGCCTGGAGCGCTAGCTGGCGGTTGCATAGTGTTGAGAAGTCTTGCTGAGACCAACAAAGAACGCCAAAATACCCTAGTTCCGACGTATTCGGGGCCATTTGCTAGTTACACGATAAATCGAGAAGAGCAGTCGACATATGAGCTCTAGCCACTTTGCCGTCGAGCCGTTAAGGCGGTAGAGAGCTTAAAGTGGAAAAGTCCGCCCAAAACCGAACTCGAATTCAAATCACGGGGCCTATTTCGGACATGGATCGGTTACTTCAACTCCAGCGTGGCATGCCGTTGCATTTCAGCTCGTAGTTCGTTAAGCTAGGAGTTTCGTATCCGTCAGAGCCCTTTGCGGCTTTCGGTGTTAGCTGGTGAATTCATCTTACTAACGCGGAGCCCGTGGCCTCATTAACGAAATAACAATAAACGCGCTATATTGTCGACCTGAGCTGACTGTTGAGGTTCCTTGACGCTTTAGAGTGACATCGCCATCTTGGGCTCAGCGGCAAACTAGATGATGGCAGAACGACTAGTCCATCTTACCGACCTGGGATTACTTTTTTGTGCAAAGTGGATGCGTTATTTCTATCGGATGTTCACAACAACACACATGCAATTAATCTCACAATTGCCTACAGGACCAAGAAGGTGGTTCTGTTGTAGCTTTCGTGGTATCGCAACGATGTGTCTAGGGCAAGGATCACCATTCCACTGCCTAAAAACTCTTGAGCAGCTAGTCACGTGCATTTTCCAGTTGTCCGCTCGGTACCTCTGAGAAAACTAGGTCTGACCGATTTTTTGCGATTTTTTGTTAAAAAAGCATGTCCGTATACGGCAAAATGCCCTGATACAGTCGATTTATCGGATCACTTCCCCGTAAGGCGAGGTAACTGCCTTCGAATTAGGCGGAAACCCGGGTTTCAGCCAATTAAATGCTTTTTTTACCTAGTCATCTTGCATGAACTGAGAGAGGGCATGCTTCTTAATTTAACCCTGCCTAACTACAATGATTTTACAAATCTGAAACATTGCCCAGGACTTACTCAAAATTAACTCCCAGGAATTGTGCTGAAAACCGATAATTGTTAGTCTACGCCGCAATCTGAAAACATAACTGTACTAACTGAAACTTTTGTACGTAATAGTATTATCAGCCGATCGCGTATCACGTGATGCGTTGGGGGGGGGGGGAGGGGAAGGGCGCGATCCAGCCGCTATGCCAAATATTTGGCGAGACAGTCTTGTGCCACTGAAACGAGCAGCAAGTTCGTACAATTATCGCGTCCTGCCTCTATTTTTTACCCGTTGTATACATGAAAACGAGGTAATTAGATACTGAACCTTGTTCGGTCAACTGAGACTGGTCAAAGTTCGGTCCTGGCACTTGAGTGGATGTAGGACGTCTCCTTACTAGCCTAAAACGAGCTACGATGTCCATTGCACATGATGAACCGAGTACCTACAGATTTTCAACTGTGCTTACTTTCCGACACACACTGTACGTGAGCTCGCAGCAATCGCAGAAGGACTGACGGTTGATGGGCGTTTGGTTTTCTTCTGTCTGGAATGTATAATTTTGTGTTTTGTTTGACTAATCGTAGGAAGACTACCGTCCAAGGAGATTTTAATGTACCTGCAGTTCACTCTAAAAGCATCGACTTTCGAACTATCTTGAGAGATGGAAGTTAGGGTGAAATCCAGATCTCAAGTAAAGCATTCACCGTATCACGATTTTACCGTGTATTTGAAGGTCGCTTCACCATGGAGAATAACATGATTGACGTTTCAAGGCAGAATAAATGGAGAATTGATTAACCAGCCCACTTGGTAGGCGTGATCGCAGTAGTTGAAGTCCCCAGATTGAAATGGGGGGAGGGGGCGGGAGGAAGGCTCAGCCCAACTCAGTCGCATAGGGAGCGCTTTCTTGTTGCCTGCGAGTTCCTACTTTTATCAGTTTGGTCTCGAACAGTCGAAACTACAGTTTGGTCACAACAGTGGATGAGCTTCCAAACCATCACTGTGGTGTTGCAGTTTAAAAAATAGTTCGTAAAAGTTGTTTAAAAAGCCTTTTTCCTAAGAGGGAAGAAGGCATCTCCCTAAGAAGGCCTCTTAAGCAGAGAAAGGAATGTTTCTTCCGCGAAATTACTATGCGGTTTTTTGCAACGATGGAGCCCGTTGAGTGTCAGGGTGTTTCTGAATTGCCGGGGAACAGTTTACGGTTTTCATTTTTCTCATTTGACCCCCGAAAATGTAGGTTCAGTGGTTAGTCTATATAGACCTTTAAAAGTCTTCAGTTCTTGAGAGCGCAGAGTTAGTTTAAAATAGTTAGTAGCATTGAGATTTGCGGAAATATTATGTCATTTCAATTTCTACCCAGATCTCACAATAAGAAAATTCTGTAAAACCGAATTATGCTGCTCTTTTTTCGAGTATAAAATTGGAGGTAGACGTGATTTTCTACCGAATAAGTAGAAGAAGGAATATTTTTATGTGTTTTTCATGAAATATAATCGAATTATCAAGGGCATCGAAAATCAGCGAGAAATTAGCATGCTACTTAAGTAGTCATTTTTTGCAGAGTATAGTTCTGCATGCAGTCCGAAGGAAGTTCATTCGAAAGCCGGCATCCTGAGGTAACTGGACCATTATAGAATTATGCTGCATGATGATTAGATTTACAACTCTACTTAATTAGTCTTTGCGAAACGAGGACGCATTTGGAAATTTCGGTTGACGTTTCATGAGTTAGCTCACCTATTGTATGTGAGGAAGCCATGTAGATCACACCGAAAAAGAGTCATTGCAGCCTGACCGCAGCTTATGAGGGCCGAGTAACGCCGTCGCACATCATTCCAGCATCATAAAAAACAGGTTAGTCAGGGTAGTTCATTAATTGCTCAATGTCATCATACATAGATAGCGGAAATGTGTATTCATTTAAGAACGCTTTGTGTCTCTACCATTTGTTTCTGTTGTTCTTTACTGAATAGAAAATTAAATGTTCCGTTATGAGCATAATGTTCTACAAACCCCTAATTGAAACCGGGTCCGAAAATGGCCAAATTGTCAGACCTTTGGCTTTTAAGAGTAGTTTTCCAAACATTCTACTTTTAAGTAAAAACACTTATTATCTTTTAGTGGAGCTCTGACATGAGTGTCTAGCATGAGCGTTGTATGATCTTCGCTGGTTAATTGCTCTGAAGGATGCATCAATCTCATCCGGCTTTTATGTAAGTCAGAAATCATATTTTCAGAAAGCTTGTTTAAACGGATTTTTGTGTTGAATAGATATGGGCCTAGCCTCTAATGAAAGAAAATCAATATCTCAGGATCGATTTTATGAGAAATAATTAGCTGGACTCAAAGGGATGGCCGGAGCAGGATTTTATTGTTTTAAGTAGCCTGATTGTAACAGGTGTCTCGCCAGACACACATAAACGACACTATTTGTGTCATATAAATCCCCCCTTTCCTGTGAGAACGGCTTTCGCAATTATAAAAGGGGGGTTGAAAAAACATAAGGCCTAAAGCACAAGTAGGGAGAGATCAGAGATAAAGATTACTGCGCTCAGGGGATGGAGCTGGAGGAGTGGTGGGTGAATTGGAGTTCGCCGCTTGCTCCGCGCGGTGGGCGCAGTGTGGCGGCCGACGACGTTGAGGATGACACATGCGATTAAGTAACGAACATGGAGTCGTTTCTAGTCCACGGTAGCATTGAACATAGTTGATAAGCACCTCTCAGACATAATCGTGGCTAGATCCCTCGCGCCACTCGGAATAGGTGTTGCCCACAGGCCTGACTGAACAATCCGCCGGCAAGTGATGCGGCCGAAAGATTCGATTCCCAAGCAGGAGATGTCGGCCGTTGTCTACCGACTTCAATGCAGCTTCGGAAGGTACAACTACGTTGGGGAAGCCGGCCGACGGCTGCAAACGCGAATGCACGAACATAAGTTGGCCGTGCGAATATTGGACCCAAAGTCGGAGGTAGCAACCAATGCCGCGCAAATGGAACACATCTTCAACTTTGACGCTGCTGAGATTGTGGGCCGGGGCGGTGATCATACAGCAAGGCAAGTGCAAAAAGCCTGGATGTCCACCGACTGCTCCGTCAACCACCACATCAATTTGCCTCCCCCCTATCTAACATTACAAACCTTCTTAACGGGGGACAGTCACGGCGCGGGACAATCGGGGCCGTCAGTCATCTCCGCGGCCGACGGGGGCGATTCAGGTCACGGTGACAAGCGGGTTGGATGCAGCCACACAGGCGGCATTGGCTGGTCACGCATTGAACAAAGTGTACCCTATAAGGGGAGTTGTGCGCAGGACTTCCCAGTCTCTGAAGATGAGTAGACGAACCAACTATTCGAAACGTCGGACATCCACTAAACACCTCCCGGTGAACGCCTCTTCTTCTTTTGATATGTCACCTGGGTATCGCATTTTCCCTACTTTTGATGAGACGTAATCGAATGAGACATGAGGTTGGTGACACTCGAAAACTCTACCAACTTATCGGTCAAGTTAGCGGTAAGCCCTCTGCACTGAGCAACTCTGTTCGCGAAGTGAACGGTGGTTTTATTGCCGACAACTCAGCCAAAGTCGAGCGCTGGCGTGAACACTTTGAGCACCATCTCAACTTCGATACCCAACCTACCTCGCCCTTGCTCTCCTCTACAGCGGAGTTTCTTCCCTCTCCCACCTGTGCAGTGCCATGCGACCTGCCCTCTGAAGGAGAAGTCGTCGATGCCATACGTAAGTTATGCAAAAAAAGGCATCCGGGGAGGACGGGATACCCGCTGAAATCTTCAAGTCGTGTGTCGACACTCTGGCGCCCTGGCTCCATGAGGTGATTGAACGAGCGTGGAGAGACGAGGTTGTTCCTGATGACTGGGGCTTAGGCATCCTTGTACCTATCCTCAAGAAGGGAGATAAGACGAGATGCGAGAACTACCGCGGCATAAGTCTCATCGATGTTGCTGCTAAGATCTTCGCTATTGTCCTACTCAGGCGATTCCAGGCTGTGCGTGACTCATGGACGAGGCCCAACCAAGCCGGATTTCGTGCTGGACGTGGATGCGCAGGCCAGATATTCACACTGAGACGCATTCACGAATTTCACCATTGCTACCAGCAACCGACGGCCGTCTGCTTAATTGAATTTGCCGCCGCGTTCGATTTCGTTCATCGTGAGTCCCTGTGACGTATAATGGCGCTAGATGGTGTACCGGAAAAAATAATCACCATGATCAAGGCCTATTATCGCTCCACTATTGCATGAGTCCTGGTCTGCAACAATCTTTCCCAACCGTTTGTTATTCGGTCTGGCGTTTGACAAGGTTGTATCCTGTCGCCCATTCTGTTCAACTATGCTATTGACTGGATCCTCGGGAGGGCCCAACACGAGGGTGACGGCGTTGAGTTTGCACCCGGACACCGACTGACTGATCTTGACTATGCCGATGATATTGTCTTACTTGCTTCAAGTTTTGGTGATCTGCAGTCTATGGTGTCACGGGTGAACGAGGTCGCTAAATCGGTCGCTTTATCCATAAACGCTGAGAAAACTAAAGTGTTTTCGAACTGCATCCCTGACCAGGAGAAGGCACCCCTCGAGATTGATGGCTGTCAACTTCAAGAAGTAGACAGTCTTAAATACCTCGGGGCGAGGCTGCTGCCTAATGGACAGAATAAGGACGACATTTTCTCCCGAATTGATGCTGCCAGCTGGGTTTTCCCAAGCCTTCAGAAAAGCCTATGGATCCGACGTGACCTCACCATCGCCACGAAGATTCGCGTGTACCGTGCATCTGTCCGGTCTGTCCTTCTCTACGGTTGCGAATGCTGGGCCTTGCGCGTGGAGGACGAGCGAAAACTGGGGGTATTTGACCACCACTGCTTGAGGACCATCCTTCGAGTTAAATTCACTGACTTCGTCTCAAATGAGACAGTCCGCGCTCGCTGCGACAACATCGCAAGTATAACTCAGGCCATCCGAGAAAGACGACTGAGGTGGTTCGGGCATGTTCTTCGTCGTCCACCTCAGGAGCTCAGTGTTACTGCCCTCGATCCGGCACTGTTGCCATATTGGAGGCGTCGAAGAGGGGGTCAGTTCAAAACCTGGCTCGACACAGTCCGTCAAGACATGGAGGGACCTCTTGGACCTTCGGTATTCGGTCTCCGTCGTGGGCGAAGGGAATGGGTTGAGCTGTCCAGATCTGCCACCGCGGACAGTCACGCGTGGAGAGGTACAGTTCTTGACATCATTGAGGCCGGTTAGATCAGGCATGATCCCAGCCGTATCAAGTACAAGTATAGCATGAGAAAAGTAGAAAGAGCGTATAAAAACAACAATAATGCCGGTGATAATTATACAATATTACAATACACCTATGGGGAGTGGTGCGCTGTTGGCAAATGGAGTAGAGGGTCGTGAAAAGTGCTGGCGTAGAATTAGAGATAGCGAGAAGGTCTATGAGAACGTCGATTGCGGAGGGAGGGTGTCAGCAGTTGTGAAGGGGCACCGACATCTTTACAGATACGAGTTCACGCGGATCCATCCTTGGTCCGCGACGTGGTGAGTTACAGCAGCACCAGTGGCTGTAGCGCGTGAATTAGTCTATAGTGAGGCGGACTTACGCAGCATCTACCGCAATCCATCGTCTTCTAATCCAGCGGGCTCGGATGACAAGACAATGTCAGGACGACCAGGGTGGGCTCGGGCTTAGTGGCTGACAAAGTTAACTGGTTCTTCTACGCGCTCCACACATAACACAATGTGCCAGTCTTTAAAAGAACACAAGGCGACTCGGATTCCATCTTTGTTAAAATTCCAATAAGGCCACGGTCAGATGATCTGTAGTATATTCTTTGCTAATGGAAGCGAAGAGACGAGTCCCAGGAAGTAGTCTTGAAGAAGGAGACACGATCGCTGAGACAAGAGCTTTATTACCCTGACGTATCGGATTCCTGATCGAACCCTTCATCAGAGATAACAGCAGATACGGGTGGTTCATGCACAAGGGGCTGCAGTATTTTTAGGATGCAGTCGCCACGCTACCGCAACTGGATCTGGTGCAGTTGCGGACAAAGCAACTACGTCGGAGAAACTGGAAGACAGCTCCCAACGAGAATGGCCGAACACGCTGCAGCGGTGAGGAGAAATGATGTCAGCTGTCAAGTTGCGGCTCATTCAACGAGACCCGGTCACACATTCCAATTCGACGAGGCCGAAATTCTCGCAAGAGGTGACAATCGCGTAAGCCGGGAGCTACTTGAGTCATGGTTTATTGGCCCCTAGTCCATTAACAAGTGTAATGAACTTCCCTTTCATACTGTGGGCTGGGACTTCGCCTAGGCGGAGTAATTAGTCACGAGGGGAGCGCACAGGTGAGCACTATTCCCAACACCAGAGTCAGTGCGTCAGGTGGTCGAGCAGTCATCACACCAACATTCGACGCGCGTGATGAAATTGCAGGAATTAACGACGCGAATGTCGGCCATCAAACAATTAGCACACTAATTGCGACGATCCCTGATGAAGGGGAGGGAGCCGTTAATGTTCGTAGGTGTGCGGTAGCATGGCGACTGCATCTTATAAATACTGCAGCCCCTTGTGCATGAACTACCCGTATCTGCTGTTGTCTCTGATGCTGGGTTCGAGCAGAATCCGGAACGTCAGGCAAATAAAGCTCTTGTCCCGGCGATCGTGTCTCCTACTTCAAGACTTCTTCCTGGGACTCGTCTCTTCGCTTCTATTGGCAAGATTACACAGTACTCCTACGCGCTCCACACATGGCTTGGTCTCCGCACTGTGTGCCCGTTTTTGAAAGAACGCGGGGCTACTCGAATTCCGTCTTTGTTAAAATTCCAATAAGGCCACAGCAGGATGATCCCATTGGAGCCGATTTCCAATTCCTGGGCCATTCGACCAACTTACACAGAGTACTGACCGCTAGGACCGAGTTGTCTGTTGTTAGCGAATGCCCAGAAATTGAGGAAGTCACCATGGAGGGTGTAGGAGACGGCCTTCTGGGGGTCGTGCAGGATGGTCGGCACGATCCACTCTAAATCGGGCTGTCGAACACATCTCAGTGCGATCATCGAGGAGAATCGCGAAGTGCTTGGTAATACGCGATAGGATATATAAGAGTCCATGAGGGCAAAGAAAGTGCGAGCGAAATCAACGCGGAAAAACAAAAAGGAGGGATAGTCAAGTAGGATATATAATCTAGTTGTGGGGGCTCGTGGAGGAACGATCTGAAGTGTAGTCATTGCTTGGCGAAACCATTGGGAATAATGAGCGGCACTCAAATCAGCAAAGTTCTCACCTTGCTCAAAAAGACTCCAGAAATTTTTAGGTTAATAGCATAACCGGCCTCGACGACTGAGCACTCCAACTCGGGTTTGAGAGCGTTACGGATAGTGAGCATGACAGGAGGCATATACTCACTTCAGTGGGCGGGATTGTCATGAGCACAGGGAAAGACTTTGAGTTTTCGGTAGAAACGTTCTATTAGGCTGATTGGTGAGACAGGGTGTCGTGTCGTGCTGGTTCAAGTTGCTATTTTTGACTGTCGTGAATGCTGATGTCCATCGTGTGCCCCGCAGCATGATGCACGTAGGGACTGCGATTAGTGTGTGAGTGGACTTGCGCAGCATCTAGCGCCGCCTCTCCCCCCTCGCCCACCTGAACCCAGTATTACGCAAGAATCAAGAGGACCGCAGGTGGGGTCGGACGTTTGGTCGGTGATACTGGTGGAGGAGACAACTTAATGGGATTTAAAATGCCGCAGAAAGACACAATCAGCAGAATCTGCAGTTGTATCCGGAATGGGAGTTGCAATTGACCATCGTGTAAAACAGTCAACTGCAGTAAGTAAAAAGAGCCAACCGCGGGACACTGATGGTCAGCCTGCAAGATGAATGCGAAAATGTGTAAAACCTTGCGTCGGGGGGGAGCAGGAGTGGAGCCAATAGAAGCCCTGCTGTGCTGTCCGATCTTGGCCTTCTGACAATTTAGGCATGAGCGAATCCATTGGTGAATACCGATGACCGTGCTGGGTCAGATGAGGCAGTAGTTGACAAGTCATTTAAGTAGGCCGAATGTGATGGACAGTGCAGTGGGGTGAAGATATTTCATCGCTGCTGGCTGAGTAATATCGGTCAGAAGAGGTCGTGTGACACATTACACAGGGTTATACTCTAGCTGGTGGTGTGAACAAGTTGTTCAGTAACACTTGGATGGTGTTGCAGTTCACATGTGCTCTACAATTAGATGAAAATGCGCCAAATGACATTACGACTGGGGTCGGAAAGGTGACCGACAGCTTTATAAGGGACGCTAACAAGAGTGGAATATAACTACCCTACCCCCTTGAAGTCCAGGCTGACATAGTTGCTACTTAATTTCATCGGGCGGAAGTTTGCATTTGGTTACCAATCTCGGACATGGCAGCGTTTTCACCATATGAATCTACCTGGACTACAGTTGTTTGGCGTTCTATCCCGAAAATGATATACTTGGAAGTATTCGCTCACCGCTTATCTGTTTGATTGCAACTAGCGCCGTACGGCCGCGGAAGACGAAACGGTGGTAACTTTATATGTCAACCTGATGGGCAATTATTTCTACTGATATGGCTCAAAAGTTAAGCATACTGGCGTATGGTTACAAGGCTCAGAACCCAAATTATTCGGAGCCTAGTAGGAAATATACAGTTTGAAAATGCGCGCGTTACTGTGGGATGACATTAGGACAAGCATGTTGGAGTTTGTTGGAGGTTGCCACGGTCACGGGATACAGTGTAATCTCGAAATCGATTGGGGGGGGGGTTAAACTTAAGGCAAACTGAAACGCTGTTAAGAAGACGAATGCCGGTGGTGTGCTGGAAAAAAGGAATCGGAATGACGGATGTCTTAAGGAGATTACTTTCCAAAGACTTGAAGATATTTGCAGTAAGTATACGTGCAAGAAATCTCTGGTTTCGACAGAACTATCAAAATGTTTATGTGCGAAAAACAGCAGCGGGGCGTTATTGGCCACAGGCGCCATAAAGATTTTGCGGGGACATCAAACTAGCGGAGTGCAAACCTAAGAGCTTGACGCCCAATAGGATCTCCCGACGGAGGTCTGCGCGTTCATTGGGTTATGCGACCTCAAGGTCGTCGATGTAAACGAAAACGAATGGCAAATCGCGAAGGACGTCGTTGGTGAAAGGTTAAAATGCCCAGGCAATGTTGTGGTCAAAAATCATCCAAACTTCCTCAAGAAGACCGTGTGAAGTCATATTTACCGTTTCGCAGATGTGTTCCAGGGCATTTGGTATTTGCTAAAAGGCTTTGTATAAGTCCTTGCATAAGGCTATGGTTATACCTGCCTGACTTAGGGATATCTGAAGAAATCAACACGACTGCTATAATTAGACTTAATTTAAAAAGAAACATTGGAAGAGTTGGACGACAATAAATTCTGACGAGGAGATTTAAGTATAGGATGGAAACAGACGGGTGCAATGAAAAATGGACCAACTTGTGAAATTTGCACAGGCCTATCCTCCAACGAGAAAAATAACCCTCGCAGAGTCGTCGACATAAGCCACCTGAAAAAGAACGAATGGGCCGACTATTGAAATCAGTGGATTTTTCTCATGTGCATTTAATTTGAGCCATGAGAGCAACTCAATTCGTTTCTACACACCTATATTAATTCAACGCCTAAGTAACGGTAACTTACGAAGTTCGTTCGTTGCCTGCATTTAGAATTTATGAACTGTTTCATGAGACCCTTCGAAGATGGAACAGATGCCGATATGTGGTCAAACTTAGTCAAGCAGCCAAAACACAATCCTGTCTTCATAAACCTTTAGTCATCTTCATCTGTCGGATCTGATCAAACGCAGACATTCCTACCATCAATTTTGTGCTGTGAGGTTGTGGCGACTAGCCATCCTGACTGGTCTGGCGTCATTGTTCAAGACTTCGCTGTCTCAAGGTCATTCACCCCTTGCAGCGAGCCGTCCCAGACGAGCTGACCTAAAGTCACCCGACCAACAGCTCGGGCATACCTGCGTCCGCACAGTCGCAGCTGCTCATGCGGCTACTTGAACGCGCCACCCCCTGCAACCATCAAAACAAGCCACTGGGACACCACCCCTCGGCAAATGCAACACACACTGACTGGACACCACTTGAGTTTGGCTTACAAAAGCGGCTGCCACCACTATCTCACGGACTCCCAGGCATGACTGGACGCAGTCAACACCAGCCTGTGGCAACTGTCGCCTGAGTGGACAACTCCGGGTTCTGTGCACAATAAACCTCAAACTGACGCCTCCCGTCTGATCTCCCTTTAACTTGGGATCTGATTTGACGATTGCAGCTCACATGCTGCACACACTCACACCGTTTGATCACAACAAGGTCACTTCGATCCGTACTGCAAACTCCGGAAAACATTCTTTCCAACCACCTTTTCCGCTAACCACAAAATCGCGACGATAAATAACGTGTTTACTTCATACCGGACGGCATGCCGAAAGTGACCTAGATGAAAAAAGGGGACAATGGCATGTTGCTTTGTGTACGCTTCCCACAAAGTCCAGAGGGAAGTCCTATAAATGCAGACTTCGATGCACCGTGTTTCGCCAGTTGTTGTCCCCACAGCTGTCACAAACGCTTCTGTGGTTTCGAAATGAAACTAGAGGTGGGGTGGGAGAGTCTGTGCAGCTTCATCCGATGGAGGCGCCAAAAACAACACGAGAATTTCAAACGACGCGCGAAAGGGCAAATCCCTCCAAAGAGAGAGACGGACTTGGACAGAAGATCGATCTCTGATTTGTTGCGAACCATATAGGAAATTCGCAGTTTAGGAAATCGGAAAATGTCAGGCGAGAGACTTTTGTAGGTACCGAGTCCGTAAGGCTCGAAACTCACGTTGGTGGAGGAGTGGGATCCAACTGCAGACTGCAGAATCAACGCTACGTCATCTCACTCTAAGTTACCACAAGTAGGCTTGCCAGTTGCACAAGTTAATCGACCTCTCGATCCTGCTCGACTCACAGGGCGAGCCTGTGCCAGTGTAGCCGACTTTACCATTCTAACTACCTTGTGGGATTGCCTTGTTTTGCATGAAGGGCTGATAACCACCAGCATGTCAATAAGATCATAAAGTATTCGCAGAGAAACAGCTTCGTTTCCCATTTGCGTTTATCATTTAAATGAAATGAGACATAGGCTGGTCATATACATATAAAGACTCCCTGATTTCGCCTTTTCATGCCAATTTTCTATGTACAGAGAACTGCGCAAGGATCTCATCGAAACACACACGAATAAGGTGTACCAACAGCGGCTGAACGTGATGAAGAATGGCCAGCCGCTAGAGTATACCGTCAGCAAAGGTCTATGGAGGGGTAAGTTGGGGACACTTGGAAATTCAAAAATACGCTATATAACCGTCAGTGAGCATGCATTTGAAGAGAAATTCTGCGAAGCATATTTTTATGCTAATGCGTTGTTACATAGCTCAGCAAATTTACCAAAACCAGCGAAGTTGAGGAATGTTAATCCTGTGGGATGTGTAAGGATTTAAGAAAACCGTAAGATCCAATTTCGTAGCCGCACCTGTTAAGGGTTAGGGTTAGGAGTTAGGGGTTAGGGTTGGGGGTTGAGGTTAGGGGCTAGGGCAAGGGGCTGGGGTTAGAGTTGGGGGTTAGGGGCTATGCTTAGTGGCTGTGGTCAGGGTTAAGGTTAGGGATTAGGGCTAGAGGTTAGTGTTAAACCCCCCACTACCACCGGTCCCGTATGACAGGCGGCTGGGGCTTGTCTACTGCAGGCGCGGCTACGAAATAGGATCCAACCAAGGAAACATACTACTTTAATGGAGTCCTGATGACGAATCCCCATAAAAACTTTGGCACGGGCAGCAAAAGCCTCGCAATTCTGATAGTACTTCATTTGACTTTTGAACATTTGCTGTAACCAAATATAAACACAGGCAACGGTAGGGTGAAGGGTTACATTTACCTCTCGGTAGACAATGGATCGTGTCATACGGGGTTTTGCCTTGACATCCATTTGCAGGTCGTTGCAGACGTTACACTGCCAACAACAATTACTTCACATGGCCTCAGAAAATACTGAGACGCCTTTATTTTTTGAAAATTTGTTTCGTGATTATTTTTTGCTTAACATGCTCATTGTCGTTGCGTGACAAAGGCGTGCAATAAGACCTTCGATAGAGACCTAAACAGTTTCTGTGTTTTATTGCATGTTGTCAGTTTGCTGTCTGGGGCGCTGCCGAACCCCTAGAAACCCCCATTACCTCCATTCTCGTATAGCACGATCCACAGTATACCTAAAGTTAAGTGGGGTCTTCGATCTACAGTTGCCTAAAGATATACAGTAGGTGGTCTAACTCATGAAATGTCGGCCGAACTTTCGAAATGTCTTCTCGTTTCGAAAATATTAATTAAGCATGATTTTAACAGTAAGCATCGTCCAGCATAATAACATAATGATCCAGTTACCTCAGGGTGTCTTCTTTTGAACGAACTTATTTTCGACTACACGCCAAATCGCTACTCTGAAAAAATGGCTACTTAAGTAGCATACAATTTTCTCATTGATTTTCGATGTCCTTGAAAATTCAATTATATTCCATGAAAAAAATGCATAAAAATATACATTTTTTTATTTATTCAGTAGAAAATTACGTCTTTTTAATTTTACACTTGACAGAGGAGTATAATTCGGTTTCAGAAAGTTTCTAATTGTGAGCTTTATTAATACCGTGAGATGGCCATTCATAAGACGTCATGCATCTGCATTTACCAATGTGACTTGTAAAGTTAACAATATGGATTAAATCCACTGCTTAATTTTATGAACCCCATATAGTCTCCTCTTAATACCGTAGAGAAATGTATGGTTTTCCATACACGGAAAATACAGGGCTTGTAGTTTTAAACCCCTGAATGCAAGTATATTTGCAGGTCTGATTCAGAATTATTCGGGATTTAAAAAAGTATTTTAAAATCAAATTATACCCTTCCTCGAAAGTCGCATCGGAAACATTGCATGCTACTTAAGTAGCCGTTTTTGCAGAGTAGTGGTCTGGCTGTAGTCGGAAATAAGTTCATTCAAAAGCCTACACCCTGAGGTAACTGGACCATTATAGAATTATGCTGCATGATGATTCGTTTTATAACCATACTTAATTAATCTTTTCGAAAAGAGAACGTATTTTGGAATTTCGGTTGATATTTCACGAGTTAGCCCACTTACTGTACTATGGTAAAGGGACGCTCAATTATCAGACTGAGACATGCTTGTCCAACTGTGCCTTGGGGCCCAATCTGGGACCTTCGCAGGAGGTAGCATAGCAAATAGTAGGATATGCGGAGAAGGGGGTCAAGACAGAGGAAAAAGGAGACTTGAGTGGCCAATTCTGGCATAGCAGTCATCGTCAGCCAGCCATGCCCAAACCCATGTCTTTGCGTGTGGCCCCTCCAACATAGTTAGTATTCCCGACTACAACCGACAGGACGACGGGCCCCTTGCTCAGTGATAGAGCGTGGACGAATAAATGATCAATGACCAAAGGACCGGGGTTCCAGTCCCGTTTCATTCAGGCCTGGGGCTAAGTGGGGCTGGCTGACAACGGTCTCCCTTGTCTTTATCGGCACTCCCCTTCTCTGGATATATATGCGGTTTCCACTTTCGTACTGAAACCCACTTTTCTCGAGAAGTAACAAATTATGATATTTGTTAAAAACAGAAGATTATGAAGAATGTTTTTACGCCAATCGGGTTTCCCATAAAACAAGATTATTTTTCGGCGAAAAGACCTGGCGCTTTCGTGGAGTGCCGAATGCTGTTGATTCTGCTTGAATGTCTGTTAACTACCTAATTCGAACAACGGCCCAAGCAATATAACCAGAAAATGAATGAGTGTTCCAAATTTCTTTCATTATTATTGTTAGAAATATAGTCAGAGTTCACGGACTTATGAAGACAGCATGTTAAATAGTGAGGTTCTGTACCAGACTAAGCAAACGCCTTTTTCTTGAAGTCTTAAAATTATACGGTTTTGTATTTAGAAAACCAGAAGTTAAAGGTCACGCTCTCGGCGGACAATAAATTTCTCATTCTCCGGGATGGACAGGACGTGGTGACCGATACTTGTAAGTATTACGGCGAAATCTGATCATCAGTAATGCCACGTAAAAAGAAAAGTCATTCAAGTAAAGGCAGTTTCCTAAGATGAGATTGGTGTAAACATCGGCGAAGTCGAAGTGGACAAAAGTATGTTTTTAATTTTTCATCATCAGGCCAGTACTGTGGAGTAACAAAGGTTGGAAAATAACAAGTAAGCAATAGTAATGGGGGTTTGAGGGTGTCTAGACATGCCGTAACAGGGGGGACAGGATTATGCTCCATTTCCATCAGTAGAGCGAGAGAGGGGCTTGTGTGTCGGCCGATTATGTTTGAGTGTCGTCTCTACAGCTCGACGTGTGAGGATGCGGGTACGGACATGTGGGATTCAACCTGGGCCAGCGTAACTTGAGGACTAGAACCCAACACCTTCTGTGAGCACGGGGTTGGTTTGGCTAATCGTATGGGCCCCGTCTACACCGTCCAAAGCATCCACTCTCACTAGAAGTTGGAATGCATCGCCGACACTTTACATATGACTCGAATCGCTTGTTTGACGCCTACCGAGGCGCAACTGTGCCATTTGAGCATGATACTCAAAAGAGCTAAGTAGTTCAGCAGTATAATCTTCATCAGGTGCGACTGAAAGGCCAGATCTCACCAATTTTGGTTAACACACGTAGATATCCAGAACCAACCTTTCTCCAGTAGAGCATTAAGGGGCACTTTTTAGACAGGTTGGCGCTATCTATACTGTAAGTGAACGATACAGGATTTGAGGTGGAATAAGTAACATACCTTCGTGTCAAACAATTGTTTCACTTGAATTCAGCCTGTGTTTCCTCACAATGTCTTGGTTTTCATTTTAAAGGGCCTCTTTCTCTTATCGTCTGCGTGCGGCCAGGGACAGACGAAAAGCGTATAAGGCAGCCGGAAAAGGTGACGCTATTTTGCATAGCTAATACTACTAGCTCTCAGGAACAGGAGTTTTTTATATTCATGTGACCTTTTGGATTTCATTATTGCTCAAATTTGTATAGTCACAACCTGGTCAGGCTGTTGTGACTTCTCGTCTTCCGGCGCCATGCACATGTCCTTCGCTACACGCCCACGATCCACACTTGAGCACTTCTCACTCTGCAACAGTGAGAGGCGCTGTGAGAATCAGACTAAGAAGTAGCTAATACAGCCCGACATTCAGTCCGCAGGAAGATCAAGTTTTTCTTCGGAAACAGGCAGAGGCATACAAAATTTGCCTTATTTAAAGAAAAAAGTCACCTTGAAGTATTATTTGTATTGATTGCATGGGTGCCTCTGATTTACAGTGTGTGACCGATCTCATGAAATGCTAGCCGAAATCCTGAAATGCGTTTTCTATTAGAATGGATTACTTAGGTGGGGTTGTAATATTGATTGATATGCAGCATAACCCTACAGCATTTCGGACTCAAAAGAATGTTGGCTTTTGAATGCAATTCTTTTTGATCCCTCGCGGAAACCGAGCTCGGCAAAAAATAACTACTTAAATAGCATGCATTTTTCCTATTGATTTTCGATGGTCTTATAAATTCAAATATATTTTGTAGAAAACGTGCACGAAAATACGCTTTCTTTTACTCGTTTGATAGAAAGTCACATTGTCTTCATATTTTATACCTGAAAAAGTGTGTATTTGGGTTTTAAAAAAGTTTCCAATTCCCGAATAATTTTGAGTCTGATTTGCCATTGCATTGACATTTAGCAATTTCAGTCTACAAGATGCATGCTTTCCGCATAAGCAAAATCATATATTCCTATATGGCCTGAAGAAGATACCATAGAGAGTTCATAAAATTTCGCAATGGATCCGGAATGTGTTGTGCATTTAATGAGGAGCATTGGTAAACGGATAGGTGCGGTCCTGTATGCATAGACGTAACACGATCTTAAAAATCTCATAATTAGGAACTTTTTTAAAACTCTATCCCGGATTACTCATCGTAGATAGATTCAGGAGACGGGACAATGACTCAGCACCCTTGAGGACTGATATCGTGTACGGATGTACGGTTGGCGAGCGTGCCTCCAGTGGGGGGCTCCGAGCCGCCCCCCTCTTCTCTTATTAAGTGTGAAATCCTGGTCAGTGTGCTTTTTGGACCAGGGGATGTAGTGGCACGCCTAGGTGCGGGTTTTCGCCGTGCCTACGCCCTATCCCGCCTCCGGTCTTCTTGACTTTGCCTTGGCACTGGGTCCAGGTGGGGCAGGAGAGAGTTCGGTAAGAGCTGGGCAAGTCTACTATCGGTATAAACTAATTCACGCTCAATTACCTGCTCCTGCTCTCGCTCTGCCGTGGAGCACACGGTGAAGATAGTGAAAGTCGACGGTTGAGCTGTCAGGTGTACTTTCAGAACGGTAGGATGAAGAGAGAGAGAGAGAGAGAGAGGGAGAGAGAAAATGCAATATCTATCGATCGACACCAGAATGGAGTTTCATTAGCCAGGCACGGTTATTACCTCCTAACGAGTATTGTTGCCTTTTCGACTCTGCTGACGTGACCTATCGTGCTGGGCAAACTGTGAGTTCTGAGTTGGAGTTATTTGTTCGCACTACTGATGCCTATTTGAGTAGCTGCGTATAGAGTTAAATTTTAGTTTCTCCGATGTAAGCGCCATCACGAATCGTTAACATTCCCAATCATAACTGACTGAACAGCGGGCCTGTGGCTCAGTGGTAGACTTGAAAACGTCCAATGCCGAAAAAATCTGGATTCGAATCCCAGGTTATCCAAACCTCCTGTTGGGTATTTTTGTCTGACGTCCGAAAGGTTCATCTCAGTCTCCCTTACTTTTTCGGTATTTCCATTCTGCAATTATAGTTAGTGAAAAACTGGTCTATCTGGAGAATCAATGGGAGTGAGTTCAAATTCTACGGGAACGAAACAACATTTGTTTTGTACATTTTCGGAACTGGTTCCACATCCTGTCGTCAGGCGTACTGATGATGTACAAAATAGTCAGATTTAATCCAAGACAAACATATGACTTTATGATCTGTTAAAGTCGGCGTCTATACGCACCTAGTGTATTCCATCACCCCACTGGGATTGGTCGCGTTCGTTCCCATTTATCCTTGACGTACTTTCAGAGACGTGTAGATACCCTAACGTTGTTTTGGTGAGGGGAGACTACAATGGCTGTGGCCGAAACCGGACTGGTGAATCATAAGCAAGACAATTCGCAGATGATACGGTCATTAGCTTCTTGGACCCTGAGGTAGGGAGTCTGATCGTGCCGGGCGAAACGCGAATTCTGTGTACTCAGTGTTCATGTGCATTCGACTATCCGCGTTTGGGGTTAAATTCCCGCTTCTTCGATAAAAATGGCATCACCAAATGGCAAGTACATCAGAGAAGACACAAGACACCCATTTGCTGGTGACGGTGGGTCTTTCGGTTTCATTACTTGGAAGGTTGTCTCTTCTCTGCATGCAGTCCCGACTCTCGGAGGTGTGAAACGGTGACTAACGCCCCCTTCAAAGGGCTCTTGACCTATAGGAGCCCTCTTACGGCCGGTGTCAATCAATAACCGAAACATCCACCCTCCTTCCCCGACTCGGATTACGCTGTATTGAGACTCGTCCTGGAGTGTGTAGTTATGCCTACAAGTTGCGCGAATGAAGGTCACTTCCAGAAAGGGTAGTGAAAAACAAGATTGTTGAGTCATCTGCGGCGTGAGCATAGCATTGGCGGATAAGGATTGGCCTGCCAATCAGGACGCAGGCGACTTTGTGATCACCTCATTCTGCAAACAATGGATCCTCCTGTCTTTATGCCTCACTATGTATCAATTTATAAATCCAAGATGACAGGTGAATAGATCTCTCGCTCCACCGACTGACTCTGATTCTTCCAAGTCTTTGCCCTGAGACCTGACAGATGATTTTTCTTAAAATGTCAGCCAAGAACCGCAAGACTGAACACGTTCAGGCCAGTAGGTACTGCCGATATAGGGCTGGCGTTCGGGTTGAATCTTTGTTTCTGCTCTGGCGGCATATAGCGAGATGGAAGTTGGATAATAATAATAATAATTTTACACTATCGATTTATGAACTATGGCAAGAGTCGTGGGATCAAGCGGATATGCCAGCTTGAACCGTCCCTGCCCTCTCCCGTTGATTGATGCGTACATTTATATTTTGCCGATAGAACCTGATTACTTTCCTGCATGTACTGGATTGGATACGTTTTGTATCTCCCTGAATTGACGACATCACCACAAATTCAGGATCGTGTTGCTTGCTGTACAGTTCTGTCAGGAAGATGGGTTTTCGTTTGCCTTTAGAACGTATAGTTTGGACATTTTCGTCTAACATTGCTATCGGTTGAAAATAGCATCCATACATTACTTGGTTACAGTATTACTGGTCGCTAAACGACTGTCTATAAGACGACACGTCTCGCAAACTGATCGGCGAACGCATTTCCAGCTTCGTTAATATTCCCAAACGCAACCGACTGAACAGCGTGCCCATGGCTCACAGGCAGAGCGTTAGACTTGAAAACGCTCAGTAAATAAAAAAATCTGTATTCCGATTCCGGGTTATTCAAACCTCGGGTTTGACGACGGCTAGTAGGCCGGGAATGTCTCCTTTGTCTTTTGTGGTATTTCTATTCTGCAATTCTAGCTACTGAAAGACGGATATCCCAAGAAATTTAATGAGAGCGGGGTCACATATCCTGGAGATGAAACAGGGTCTATTATGTACAATTTCGGAACTGATTCCCTAGCCTCTCGTCGAACGTATGGTTGATCTACAAAGCACTCGCATTTAAAGCGTTTCAAACAAACGATTTTCTGCTGGTCTGAAGTCTGCGTTCATACGCCCCTACCGCATCCCTTTAGCCTGCTGAGATTGTTTAAGTTCGTCCTCATTTGTGCTGGTTACCTTTGTTTTTGACATCCAAATCGATACACCTGTTGATGTCTCCTTCATCTGGCCGCATTGCATCCAGAGTTATACCGTCTGGTACTAATTTGGCGGGCGCGACCGTGTGAGGTTTCTTTCGTAAAATGTGTGTACAGTTACCTAAAATAGCTGATCTCATCTCCTTATTAGTATTTGATGCTTATATATGCGAGTGGAGGTGGATCTCGTAGGTTGACCGCAATAACCTGCGTCACAGCTGGCTCATGAGATGTTGTGGACAAAGTCTCTTCTGTCTAAGTAACCATCCATTTCTTTGTCATAAAAACTGGGCGCACAAGGTCGCTGTAGGCTTGAACGCTTCACCTATCTGACTTCGCCTATCCCAACTGTCTTCTGACGTGATCACACGTGTTTTTTCTTGTATGGGAGAGTTTGCCAGACAAAAGCAAAAACGGTGCAGGCTGAAACCCACGCGACTGTTTTGTTGTTTTCCTTCGCTCGGACACATTTCACGTTGAATTTCTGGAGTTAGTCGACACGTGATTTTTGGATCAGTATATTCTGCAGAGTTTCTGACCTCTGGAAGTGGACCCTATGTGTCTGTCGTCAAGAGACCGTCCTGTGTCGGCTCGTGTGCCCGTGATAACAATCTACCCTTGCTCCACCCAGTTGGCCACATATTAACTGACGTGTGGTTTTTTACCACTTTAGAGCCTCATTCTGTTTATGCAGAAGAAAGAGGCGTGGGATCACGAAGAATGCGGACCGGAAGTCGTGGAATTCATGCGGAGGACCTCTACGATACCGCGTGATCGCGATCATAGAGCCATTTTAGTCGCTCCCACTGAACAGACCTGCACTCATTGGATGGACGGATTTTGCTTCCTCAAGAAGTATAATGTAAGTATGTACGCTGGATTTGCCCAATTGGACTGCCTTTCTGGTCAAAACCGCTAAATAGCGATACATTTAAATCGGTCGTTCCTCATTGCGCTCTACAGACACTGGGGTTCAAAAGACAGCTATACAAATGCTCAGAATAAGTAGCTTTGAGAAAGGGAAACTTCATAAAAAGTGAGTACGTAAAATGGAACTTACCTGAGCATTTTCTTTTGAATTTGATTCAGGATATAAAGAGCGTCTAGGCTCAATAAGAAAAATATACTTCACTTACATAGTGCAGTTTTTCACTGTGACTTATAAAAGTTGGCTCAGTTGAGGACCAGCAAGTTGCCATGTGAGAATTACGGTGGGTTATTTCATTATTTTAGCGGGGAAATATTGTCAATCGGAAAGTTCGTAAACAGAGTCTATGTAATTTTTCATGGGTCTTCACACCATGTCCGATCAGCCTCTTAAGTATCACAAATGCTTGTGGAGAGGGATCAATCAGCTCCCTGATCTTAAAATAAGAATGTTCTTTTATAACCTCGTTTTGAAGTCATCTTTCTCCCTTTACCTTATTAAGAATGATCCATGGATATCTGTTTATGATGACAGGACCTGGCGAACTAGCTTTGTAATATTTTAGGGTTTTTAATAAGTTAAACATGGAAAATTCGCCTTCTTGAGGAATCTATTCAATAAGAATGTTCGGTTGAAGTTGACCTTCTCTTGACAAGGTAACATGCGGAAAAAACCTTTTTTCACACAAATCTGGTGTCGTTGGAGTCTTAGCAGATGGAACAGGTTCAGGAAGGAACTTTGGTGGTCACTGAAGGGACTTGATTGCAGATTTCTCAACCATATTGCAAATCTCCCCGTTTACTGAGAAAAAAGACACCGCAGGGTTAGGCTACTCGAAGTGAGCTGCTCCTTGGTTTGCGAAGTTCTGACGATTGTGGTTGGAGAGTTGGCCATTGATAGTGGCAGAACCGGTCCTGGAGATGGTGTCAGTTGTGTGGGAGGGGACCATGAAACGTCCAAGCAGGATGATCTGGTCCCATCATGTGCGTTCAGAGTGTTAGAAGGTGGGGCTGATTTGGTCGATGCGGTCAAAGTCCATTGGGATGCAGCCGAAGTTACTCTTGTCATCTTCCCTTCAGCTACTGTTTTAGATACAGTAGTATCACACAGTGTCGGTGTCGGCTCCGAAAGTGGGCTGGCAGTAGGGGTTAATTTGGGAGGGTGCTAGACGTTGACAGTGCTGCTCCTCGGCATTACTGGCAACTCTCCTTAGCATCTTCTATAGAAGTATCTTCGAAGGATACAGGTCCATTTTCGACTGGAGTTGACCCCACCTGCCAGTCCTGCGGTAGTTTTCCCCCACCAACAAAGCTTTTAAGATTTCCTTGTTTCACTGATTCAGAAGGCCCTCACCTGACAGCCGCGCACAGTAACCATTCTAGGATAAAATCCGGCGCATCTTAGTTGACAAGACAGAACACAGACAGCCGAGATTTGTTTCTGGCATTTCACCCTTCGAAGACAACTACAGCAGGTGGTCTTATTCATGAAATGTCGGCCGAAATTTCGAAATTCGTTCCCGTTTCGAAAAGATTAATTAGGTAGGGTTGTAAATCTAATCATCATGCAGCATAATTCTATAATAATCCAGTTACCACAGGGTGTAGGCTTTTGAACGACTGCATGCAGGAACTATACTCTGCATAAATGACTGCTTAAGTAGCATGCAATTTTCTCACTGATTTTCGATGCCCTTAAAATTTCATCATATTTCGTGGAAAAATGCATATATATATATTCATTCTTTTGCTCATTCGGTGGAAAATTACCTCTTCTTCCAATTTTATACTCGAAGGGAAGGTATGATTCGGTTTTCAAAAACGTTTCCAATTCCCGAATAATTTTGAACCCGACCTACGTTACACTTGCATTCAGGATTTCAAAACTACAAGCCGTATATTTTCTGTGTATGGAAAACCATACATTTGTCTGCGATATTTAGAGAAGACCATGTGGAGTTCATAAAATTTAACAGTGGATTTGATCTCTATTGTTAACTTTACAAGGCACACTAGTAAATGCAGAGACATGACATCTTATGAATGGCCATTTCACGGAATTAAAAAATCGCACAATTAGGCACTTTTTAAAACCAAATTAAACACTTCCTTTGAGTATAGAATTGGAAAATGACGTCATTTTTTACCGAATGAGCAAATTAATGAATATTTATATGCATGTTTTCCATGAAATATAATGGCATTTTTAGGGGCATCGAAAATCAATGAGAAAATGGCATGCTACTTAAGTAGTCATTTTTTGCAGAGTACAGTTCTTGCATGCAGTCGGAAAGACGTTTATTCTAAAGCCTACACCCTGTGGTAACTGGACTATTATAGAATTATGCAGCAAAATTATTAGTTTTACGATCCTACTTAATTAATCATTTCGAAACGGGAATGCATTTCGAAATTTCGACTGACATTTCATGAGTTAGCCCACCTACTGTAAGATAACAATGCTTTGGCTTCCTTGGTTGGCAGTGGTAGTGTGCCTGGGATTCTGCGCCACAGCGTATCGCAATCAGCGCGCCACGGTTGATCCTTAATGGGCATCGTGGTCTGTCAAAGACTTGGCTAGCTTTGCATCTGTAGTCTGAGGTTTCGACACCAACTGTACTGCCAAATCAGAATAACTGTTCCACAGTATCGAGGCAATGACCATCGTCCGGGATCGGTGCTTCAACGTATTCTACAGCTATTATTTGTTGATCGTGCTCATTGTTTTACTCGCGTTGATGGTTTGGCCAAAGTGTACGGGCCTGGAGCCCAGAGGATTTGTACTCCTCTGCATGTCTACATTTTGCAATGTTGACCGGATTTTCAGCAAAGAATGGAAGGGCGAAAAGTATTGTAGTGTGCATTCTTTAAATACTGAAGATCTTCACGTAGGCTCAATAATTATTCATCGATCCCGGTGCAGCATCGCGCATAATCTCGGCCGACGTGAGGCTGAAAAGTGTTTGAATTGGCAGGTAACCTTGACTCATCACCTTCGTCACTGCAAGGGCAGCCGCGGTCGACTCGCAATCGGTAATGTGTGTTCGGGTGCAATCGGGAAATTAAATTTTCATGTGCGCCGTGCTGTTTCTAAAATTCCAAACGTCCTCACTATCCTCCAGAATCTATTTCGATTTTCAGTGCCAAGGGTAACTGTCAGAGACTAGCAAAGCTGATAAAATTATCTTTTCTTGAACTTTATCCTGCGGTTGACGAGTGGTCAAAGTTAAGCCGCAGTGTTTCAGGGAACTCCAGCGGATCTACGCTAGAAGTGCCTGCTCCATTTTGAGCTATGCGCGGAGACCTTTCTCAGAGCGGCTGAACAGAAGGAGTATTTTATCTTTACCGCAAACTCCTCGAATTCCTTTCCGCCTGTAGGGGTAAATTCAACGTCACGTTTCAATGAGTCCACGTGTTCTGAAAGGGAAGAATACGTGTTCCCAGCATTTAAGAACCAATTCATCCCTAGGTCACGCTGAAAATCCCGTTTATGCCCGCAGAAATCCAACTTGACAGTGGCTGGACTGCCATGTCAGTCTCCTGCATCTTTGGTCGACGGTTACTCTGAGCAGAGAAAGTTTGTTGGTAACATTCGGGAGATGGCACCCAAATATCCGTTGCCTAGGGATAATACCTACTATATCTATTTGAATAGGTACCGACCCTACATGTTTGTCGTTTCATCCGACCTCCGTTTCATCTGACCTGCAGTCCGCATGCTGCCTGACTTACACTGTCATTTCGTTAGAGCTGGACAGGATGAGCAGCTCTGACCAGTTTTGAACCTTGGGTCTTCATGATGGCCGCGTTGAAATTCTTCCTTTTAGTCCGGCCAATGTTTCATTGGAACTACTCTGCTTTGAAACTCAGCTAAGTTGTTTGTGTTCCTGGCAGCTTCTGTTGCGGTCACATACATAATTTGTGGAAATTAATTTTATTCGAAACACTCCCGTCCTTCTAACAGACTGACATGGGGAAACAGCTGTTGTATTTCCGCCTCCTTGTCATTGGACCGACGTCAATATCTTTGACACAACCTGCCTTAGTGGCATTAAATATCTTCAGACTTCAGGATGTGGATACCGCAAGTGGTTTCCCATAGTATTAATTGCCTAGGCCGACCTCGAATGAGCTATGCTCAGTCTCCATGGAGCCTACTATCTATGAGGACTTCGTCGTTCCTCCCGGAATTTTACTTTCGTCTTTACCATCAAGATCTCCTAACGATCTCGTCTCCTCATCATCACAGGATTTACTAATTTTCAGGTATGCAAACGTACGTACATCGATGTTGTCTTCTTGTCGAAAAGGAAACGATTGTGCTCGTTAAACGGCCCCAACGAAAGACTTCCACTCTTTCATACTGGTGGTTATTCCGCAAGAACCTGGCGCTCGGCTTTGGATGGTGTGTTCTGTGCGAACTTCTGCGCCGAATTCTCGGCTAACAACAATTTCGTCCGTTTTCGACACGGACACGAAGACTTCGTGTGTATCCGCGTACAATTTGCTGCCCAAAATATCGCCATCTGTCGCAAAATAGGCTTCTTAGTTCCAATGAATGAGTTACTTGATAATATCAAGCATGCAAGAGGGTAATCTCTTGACGACATCCGTTCAATTCTTCCGTTCAAGGCGAATGTGCACAACGCTCCACCAATGTTCAAATTCTCTAGACCGGAGACGTTAGCGTCGTCGACAAAATCATTGCTCTACCTAGCAGATGCCCCATTAACGATGGTCACCCTAATTCCTAGGTGATAAGCTCCTGATTTACTTGAAGGATTACGAACATTCAGAGTTTCAGAAGTCAATGAAGTCAATTTAGCGGGAAGCTGATGGAGACGAATGTTCTTGTCATTCAGATTGTTTTGATCGAATATGTGATTTCCAACAGTTACGCCCAGCCTTTTCTACACTAATCTCGTATGAGGAGATAGGCAGTTCAAATAGAAGCGAAGAGACGAGTCCCAGGAAGTAGTCTTGCAGTCCCTTATGCGTGAATCGCCCGTATCTGCTGTTGCCTCTGATGACGGGTTCAAGCAGAAATCCGAAACGTCAGGCTACTAAAGCTCTTGTCCCAGCTATCGTGTCTCCTTCTTCAAGATAGGCAGTTCTTTTGTAGGTAGGGCTGTTTAAAAGTCCAGACGGCCGACGAATGTCACCGTGGCCGACAAGTTTTAGGGGAAAAATAAACAATCCGAATTAGTCTAAGCCGCATTTGGGGTGCGTATTCTTCTCCCCGCTGAACTTGGACACTTGAGAGTGAGGAGGAGGAGGCTGGTGTTGAGAGTTAGTGAGAGTGAATGACGAAGGTGACCAGCAGAGCCCCAGGCTCAATCTATCGTCATGGCGAGGCTGTCATGGTTGCAGATGAAGTGAAGATACTTGACTCACATACAAATATACATGAAACAGTCAAGACAGTTTTCGTGACAGACTAGTGGACTCAGGGAACTCACACAACCACAAAAAGTGGACGACCAGATCGGTTGTAGCAACCTGCATTTCCTCCGTATGAAGGATCGTAATAAAAACTTTTGATTAGAGCTCGTAGAGTTAGCTTTTAAAAATTACGACGACATTTCGACCGTCGAGGCCGACGATGTCCGCCGTGTGATCCGTAGCAAGGTGAAGCGGCACGATAAATTGTGCGTGAGCTAGTACGTAGTAGTAGTGGACTTGCACTGCGTCTACCGCACTCCCTCCTCTTCTCCCCTGGGCCCGGTGTCAGGACAGAGTCAAGAAGACCGGAGGCAGGGGAGGGTGCCACTGGATGGCGCAGTCGAGCCCGCATATTGGTGCTCCACTCCACAACCCCTTGTCCCCAACAAATGCTTGACCGGGATTTTAACCAACAACAAAAATGGGTGGGCGGTAGGTGTCCCAATGTGTGCGATGTCTGCCGGCAACTGGGTCTGCCACTACACCCCGAAATGTTCACGTTTGTTATGATGCACATTCCGATAACGCCTGTCAGGGTCCGATGTGGCCCCGCGTTAATCTAGCGCATTTACCGCGCGGTCATTTGAGGAGCGCTGGCCTTGAAATAGTACTGCGCTGACAATACGAAAGGTCCGTTCAGCAGCGTATTCGAATGTAACGGAAGCCGCCAACCTCCAGTTTTTCACGTATTTTCGACTGAGCATTTGACTCAAAAGCTAAAACATTATCATCTGCTAGTTCAGCTGCAGTTTCTGGCCTAAGTCAGAACTTATGAGCGTTGGAACGAAGAAAGGTAGTGTGGTTACTATCGGATCCGCAAACTTTCGAGCTTAAAGGACAAACAAGATTGTTAGAAGTTATGGCCTGAGGATGGGGAAGGACTTCAAAGCGTATTTATTCCTTATGTTTATTTGGTAGGGATAGTAGGCAATGCTTTTGAAAACTACTGTATAAATTCCATTAAGTTAGATATGACTGTGCACGCGCGATGAAAACAGCCACAACTAAAACAGTACTCACATGATTTAAGTAGTACCAGTTTAAGAACAAACTTTCAGAGTTTCATGAGGTATTTAACTCGGGTTCAAACTGCCGAGGGAAAGCAGGGAACACACATAATCAACCGGAGTCCTGTCCGTCACGAGGAGAAGCCCCATCGAAATTTGGTATAACTGGTTCCTACAAAGCTGATCCAGCGATCTTAACTGATTAATTCCTCAGTCCACCTAGTTGCAGGGCACATAAAATGCGGCCTGAATTTAATCGACTTTCTGTGTTCTTTCTACCTGACTGCTTCTCCTCCCCTTCTCAGCGCGAGAGCGAATGCTTTGCGGAGGACTTAAATAACCTGGTTGAGCTGGAATTACGGATGCGCCTTCTGGGTCTGGACTGGTCACTTGTGCCCGAAACCCCCATTCCACCTCCGCCCACCTATCCTGACACCTCGACTCTACCCTTTTGAATGCTGTGATACACTTATGGCTGTTTTTATGACCTCATTTTTTTAGCTGAACCCTTATTTTCTCTCTCTCCTTGCCAAACAAATTCTATGTTTTTACCGAGTTCTTTCATGTTGTCAATACTACTCATAAAAGAGACTGTACTGTGAAGTAAAAACAACGGATATCGTCGAGTCGTATCAGAAGTACTACTACAATGATATCAATTTAAGAGGCAAAACTTCGGATTGATGACGGACTTTTGCATGCTTACAGATCAGAGGGCAACTAGGGACGATGATAAATATGAGTCTGAATCGGGGACAAAAAAGTGCTCCAAATAAATATGGGAGCAGTAGACGACGTATTCGAAGCTGTATGGGAAGTTAGCGATGTTTATTCGTGAATAAATATGGGCAGTATAAAACCCACAGAATACATTAGAAATTTTCCGGTTCCCAGAACATTAATACTTAAAAGCGGCACATGCGGATGCGTGGGACAGGGACAGGATAGGATTGATTACCTCGAAAGAAAAGGGGTTGTCTACAAAATCCCATGCTCTAGTTGTGATGCCGTCTATTGTGGCCAAACTGAGAAATCTGTCTCAACCCGTATACAGGAGCATCAGTTAGCGGTAAAGAGACGCGACCATCTATCCCAGGTGGCCACGCACACACTGGACACTGGGCACAAATTTGCATGGGAAAACACTCGCATTATTGGCGCCTGCCCAATAAGGAAACGCCGTGAATTCCTGGAGGCAATGCACTCAGACGAGGCATGCATCAACGGCATATCGATCCAGATGCCACATACAAAATCGTTAAGGACAGATTCAAACTGACTCAGTCAATCCTCAGAAGATAACTTTAACCAATCATAGGATCTTTTGTCAGACTCGGTCTAGAAGTTAATTGTTTTTGCACGCCCGTTGTCTGAAGACGAGCTGGGGAACCAGTCTCGAAAATTTACACAATAAAGTTTGCTGTTTCCCAAAGAATTTTCTCTCCCTAAGCTAAACATTATTACGTAATTTCTTGAATTTTGCTGGTCGTGTTTGAATTAGTGACATTAATCAGGTAAATGACGTTAGATGGTGAAATCTCATGATTCTAAATAACACTGCCTGCTAGCATTCAGAGCACCGCCACTTTCAGTAGGTGTACTTTGGTTTGAAATATTGTCGGTTAATCATAGATTAAAGTACGAGTACTGGTTGTTTATTTACAATAGATGTGATATCTCATGAAATGTTAACCAAAATTCGGAATGCGTTTTTAATTGGAAAAGATTGCTCAAGGACAACTTTTGTATAGGTCTTTTTGGCCGTTTGCAAAACCTACACTCTGATTTTAGATGCACTTACAAATTCAGTTATGTCTCATGGAAAATATGCAGAAAAAATATAGGTAAGACCTTATTTATTAGCCGCACCTGTTAGGGTTAGAGATTAGGGGTTAGGGTTATGGTTATGGGTTAGAGTTGGGGTTAGGGTTTAGGGGTAGGGGCTAGTGTTGGGGGTTAGGATTAGGGTTAGGTGTCAAGCGTTAGCTTTAGACCCCCTATTTCAACCGGCCCCCTATGACAGATCCGATCAAAATATACTTTCCTCTACTCATTTCGTAGCAAATTTCGTCATTAAAATTTGTACCCAAAGAAAGGATATCATTTGGTCTTGAAATGTTTACAGTTATGAGACTGTTTAAGATCGTGAAATGTCGATTCATGTAGCATTGCATCAACACTTTTAATGCTGCTTCTAAAGTAAACCACGTACTCCCTATTATTCGCACAAATTCATGAGTGCAATATAACGCATCCTAGACCTTTGACACAGTGCATGCAGCATGTGATTTGGGAACAAAGAAGGCAAGTGGAACGCAGGTTGGATTCAAAATTGTTGGGGGCATGGAAAAATTGTTAAAAACTGAAAGATACTCTCTCTTCAGATAGAAAATCTGAAGAAGACATAGTTTGCGAATTAATGAATGCAAAAGAAAAACTTTTCTGCAAGTTTTTCATAAAATATAATTAAATTTATTAGGGCACCGTAAACCGGTAAGAAACCGCATACTACTCAAGTAGTCAGTTTCTGCAGAGAGACAAAACAAAACTCATTCAAAAGCCGGCATCCTGGAGTGACTGGAATATCTTTTGGCTATGCTTCACGACAATCCTACTTAAGTAGTCTTTCCGAGTTGTAGAGACAGTTCGAGATGTCGATCAAAACTTCAGGACTATAGTTTCCTAAAACAGGTTGTTATTTCATTTACTCTACTTTTCTGCTGGCGCATCTGAACCACACAACACGTGTCGCCTAAGCAGATGTTGGTGTGCATCGTCACAAGTCTATCGGTTTTGCACTTGCACACACTGCTCAAAGACATCCGGTCATCGCATGGGCCTAGTAGACCCCATGCGCCCATATTTAAATCTTCGACAAAGCCGCAGTCCGTAGGTCATAATTACACCTTGATTTGCCTCCCTGGGACACATATAGACCCCCAGCACACCATAAAACCAGTCACACCTCTTTCCGGCGCAAGCATACTCTTTGCCTAGACATGGCCTGTATGGCGTATTTGATCCCTCATAAGCACACCTGCCCGGATGCGCTGGTGGTTTATCAAAAATTGTTTTCCTGAAGCACTGACTTAACCCCAATTACAGGAATGCCGTAAACATTGCCCTGGCACGGGCAGTCCTTGACAGGACAATCCTGTCCGTTGGAGGAAATGGACCACTGTAGAAGTACGACGTCAAGATTATTGTGGTCTTTAAATCTCCGCTGTAATTAAGTTACACACTGGTAAAAGCAACGGGCGCTGGCGCAAGTACAGTACTGCAAATGCAAAACATTTGAGTGATCGTTCAAAAATTAAATGTTTTGGAAAGGTCTGTGTTCTCTGGCTCCTTACCCGTTATGACAAAAGACATGTTCAGTCCGCTTCAGTGTAACACGGAAGACATTCTGAATGTACTAAAGGTTATATGAGGGACGGCGATAATACAACTTGAATAACTGCGAACATGCGATCCTCTTAGAGGCGGAGGTGGGGAGGTCCAGAAACCAAAAGTAAATATTTGTCTCCACTTAGCCCTGACATCGGACTTGGCGAAATGGTAGGGTCGAAAACAAGAAGGTGCCCCAAATCGAAAGTCAGGGAAGGTGAATTAGGTTAGATCAGCCCTTACTGAGAGAAAATGCGTACAAGAGACTTTGCAAGCAGTCGCCGAGAGCTGTTTCTGATTAGCATATGTTGTGTGCCTCTATTCTGTAAAAGGGGTCTGCCAGTAATCCGTTCGCGACGGAACTGCGTCGGTTCGCTTCAGGCGTTCAAGGGCATGCGCAAACACGCGAGAGAATGGACCTCGCCGGCGGATTTCCAGCCTATGCTCATCAGTGTGGGTCCCAAGTCGTAAATCGGTATGACCAACATAAACGCAAGGACAGTTAGTGCGTGTAATGCGATAGACGACATTAGTTTGCTTATCGTAGGGTATGAGGTCTTCTGCTTGGGAAAATGCTGTGCGCAGGGAGGACGCCAACTTGTGGACGATGGAAATTCCAAATCGATTTAACTGCCCGATAGTCGTTTCTGAATTTATTGGCATGTAGGGCAAGGAGTAGATTTTTCGTGACACGCTGTCTCTACTAGAGTCGAAACATTGTGGTTGTTTTAGGCATCTACAGTTTTCCACAAAGCAGGCTAAGTGTTCGGTGAGCTGGAAAAACCGATACAAAGAAGTCAGTTATTAAGTAAATCATCGTTTCTGCAGTAAGGAAAGACCCAATTAAATAGGGTTCAGACGCAGCTTCTTTTATGGATAGCAAGGTGGTTGCTCTTACAGTTAAGGATGAGCTCGACGATACAACGTGCTCGGTAGACTAGATTCAGAGCAGGATTACAGTCAGGAGTTCTGTACGTGCCTCTGCACCGCACTCTCCGGTAATGGGGGATTTGAAACGCTACTGACATTTCGCCACTATGTAACTGCGGTCTTTTGGATTCAGACGCACCATGGAAACTGCAAGAACAGCTCCGATCCACGATCATTGTCACCTTTTTAGAGCACCGAATACTACCTGACGAGGAATGAAGAAGGCCAACAGCATGGTCGTTGCGTCAATATTGCTTGGGGAGCTTGTCTTCACACACCAAGAGAAGGGCCAGCATCTGTTAGGGAGCGGTAACCTCTCGAGGACCATGGAGGAGGAACGACAATGTCCAAAGTAGACATGGAAAAACTGGTGTCAGTGATTTGTGGTGTTTCTAGTGACCGCCTAGTACAACGTGTCACCCGCAACTCACGTAGAATCATGCCAACTTCAGATCGTTTATCTTCGTTTTTATGGAAGGGAAGCGCCATAAAATCCTGCTTTCAATTACGTGAATTAAAGGGAATAAAGGCGTACGCAAGATCTAGAACAAACGCGGGCTGATAATTTCTTGCTAAACCGGTGTCTAGGACAAGTGCAGGACAAAAGGCATTGCATATTTAACTGACCACGGTGCGGCGCCCATCAAGATTAAAGGTCTTCAACTACCATTTTGGATAACCGATTTTATTTTGCTCAGTAGCCATTCTGGCAAAATCATGTGACAGGAACAACAGTAGTTCTTTCTTTTGGAATGGTATGACCGAAAGGGATCATTTGTCATGAATAAACATCAAATCCCCGGCCCCGCCTTTTGCACTACTGTTGATGAGAACATCCGACACTTTGACCGTCGTGACCGACGATGTCTGTTGTGGGACGGCACGGACATCAGTGAGCGCGGTGTGATCATGCAGCTGGGTGTGGCTCCACAGCCCAATGTTGACATTTGTTATGGGTCGGCATCCCCTATAACCCTTCTCGGACTTTGATCTAGCGTCCCTGCCGGTACAGCGCATCTACCGCCTGACCCGCTTCAGGGGCAGAGGACATCTACTCGCTGCATGACGGAGTAAGCCTGTCCATCTTGAACTAGATAAGTAATTTCTGGTACGTTGTTCTGTGGGTTTCAGCTTGAGCTAATAAGGATGCCGATAAAGCCGGAGCTTGTCACCTTCGAAGTTTCGTTCTTGTTCCATACTTCCTATGGCAGCCTTTTTCTCTTACTGGTGATTATCGTCAGTTACGGAAACTCCGAAAAGTTACTGTAAGAGCGATGCTCGCGTTCATAAAACTTGTATCCAGGATTTCTCTGCATAAGCATGCGCTCTTAACCGACAGCGCGCCGGTCTGCGTTTTGCCAAATTCTCCACAATGTGTACCTCTTATCAGCAGAGTTTCACAGTCTAACGCAACCATTCCCCTCCTTGATTTTGGCTACTTTCATCATCACTTTTTCTAATAAAAAAGTTCGCCAATCGAACATTATTTTCTTTCACAACACCTGAACTAGTAGTTATAGCCACCTCTGCTTTAGCCAATGCTCTCTTGGCAGAATGATGAGTAGATTTCAGGGGCCGGATTCTATCCAAGCGGAAGTTAAAATGGGGGATGCATGACTTAGGATTTTTGTCCCTCGTACTATCCACGAGTGTTGGGCCTATAGTGATCGCCTAACCCTTGTAGTCACATTGTGGTCGCAAGTATGATAAGCCGTCACTCTGCGAGGACCGGTAGCAGGTTTGTTCCACATCTTGCTTGGTAGGTTGTGGTAAAACCGCTTTCCGAATAGAAAAGTTCGGTAGAACCTCCAGACGAGCATACACTTGCTGGTGTAATAGTCTCATTTTTTCTATATCAATTAGCGTTTCAGTAATCAACAAACTCTATCCTTTTTAATCTACCGCATTCCAGACTGGTGTCGCTGACTTTAAAGAGTCTTACTGAATAAATAGCGACGGTGTCATTCAGGCAGGAATACATATGCTGCATGAGAACAGTTGTCACTAAATGGTCACTTTGGTACCCACAGATAACTTTGGCAGACTTTTGCCGTATTAGAAAAAGAATGTATAAATTTTCTCGGCAGAATGTTTGGGTCATCATATCGTCACTTGTTCTCAAGCGAGGATTTGGCTCATCAAAGTGCTGTATAATCTTCCGGCAGATCAAGGCGCGCTAAGGAGAATAATACTGTTTCTAGCTGTTTCACCTCAATAAGATGGAAAAGAGCGTCATTAAACACCAAATCATTCAAACAAATGTCGAAAATATTTCCACGCAACTTCTTAGTAAAGGTCATAGAATACCTTGTTTAATATGGCCGGTTAATTAAGAAAGGGTTAGAGTGGGCAGTTCTAGAAAACCTGTGGGCAAATTTGGTAACTAACCACAATCTAGTACCTGCGCTTTGACTAATTTTCCTTTGGGCGTAAACGGAAATCAAGTTATGCGAAGTTTTAGAACGTGCCCTTCTACTACGAAACAGTTATGCGCATCTTCCTATCCCCGCGAACACGCCTAATGGGTGCGACAAGGCACGGGTGACCATAATCAATTACTGGATGTGAGATGAACGGTAGTTGGAGATTGAGCACAGAGGGAACATGCGATCAGCATACCCAAGATGAGCAAGAGACCCACTTGCACCCACGAGTTTGCTGCCCCGTGGAGTTGCCAGATGTCCACAGGACTAAATTATAAATCAAAACTCAAAGAAAAATTGCAGGGGAGAGAAGTCAAAAACTACATTATGCAAATAAGTGCTCAAAGGACCTTAGGCAACAAAGAAATATCACCTTAAGGAAACATGCTCCTAAAACAAAACACAAAACATTAACACAAAAGTAATAAATAAGCGGATCAAAGGGAATTAAAGTCAAACACAGGGGCTACGATGAATCACAGGCAGCGGACAGCGTGAGTGAACACCTAACTAGCAGAATTGATTCGTGAGATCAGTGGCGACGTCATAAGTGAGGTAACCATCAGTTCGGGAATCGTCATTCTCGGCTCGTAGAGCGGCTGCGGCAAGGTTGGCCTCCATATCCTCCGGCCCAGGAGAGAGTGGGTCCTGGGTCTGGCCAGCCTGGAAGTCCTCCAACCCTGCAACCGATTCTGCCGAAGTTATCAAAAGAGCTGGTGGTGGCTGTGGCGGTGCTGCTGATGGTGAAAGAACAGCATATGGGGGAAATTGAAAGACTGAATCATCTGCACCCACACCCTGTACCGGATTCAGGCTCTCAGTCAGCTCGTTTACTCCCAGGGTTATTGATCTGATATCGTCTGATTGGCCAGGAAGCATCGTAAAACCGTCGGGGGCTGTACCTGAGATGTTGACAACCTTCATCTAAAAGAAAGCTTTTAAGGGTTAGAAGGGCGACTTGAACCTTCGTATATTTAACAGTCGAGAAAGACTCAAAATGTCGTGCATCGTTCACATCCTAAATGCATATGTGCCAAAACCCAAAGCGGACCGGTTCTGCACAAATCCAACGCAAGGATATGATAGTGCTGTACTGGAATGAGAGTGTCCTATCGACATAAAGGGTTGTCTACTGCATCAACAAGCGACGAATTTAATAATAAAGAAGGGATTATCTAAGAGTGCACAACACTTTCACATCACCAGTCCAATAAGACAGCATGTAAAAAATTCGTAAATGGAAAACGGATTCCTTAAGACTTAAGAGAAGACATATTCCAATGGCCTTCTGTCCGGGATGCCAAATAAGTACCATATGAATGTCCCGATCAGTATATGCTAATAATGAACAGATAGGCCAACAAGCGTAACAAAGAACATGTCCAAAATAGCATGAGACCGACTTGCCGATGCAGTCCTATTGTAGGATTAGATGCAGGAGATTCCGTATTAAACTGTGACCGATTCAACTCTGGCTTGGAGAATCAGTCTAGAATCCTCGCCAAGGAGACTAGAATGATCATTTCTGACTTGTCAACTTTGGTCAGCCAGCCCTGTCCTAACCTCAGGCTGGGGAGACTCAAGTCTCAAACTCTGGTCATCTGGTCGGCGAGCACTTCAGTCCGACGTTCTGCCATAGCTGTGGTAGGCGGTGGATGAAACGTGCTACGAGACGGTGACTTGTGATTAGGCGAGTCGGTTTTTCGTAGTGGGAGATTTAAGACATTATTCTTTCTAAGAAAGCGGGTTTCGAATGCGCCAATGGGTCGAACACAGTCACCCTTCTACTGATTCCATCAGCACATTAAACTGGGAACTTTTCTATAGACGCCTGATACTACAAAATTGGAAGCAAACTAAAACGTCTTGGTAAATGACAAAATTAACGATTGTTCGGAGATATATGAAACGAGGAACTTAATCCTGCAAGTAATCGGGTTGTGCAGAAAAACTTACAAAGTAAGCGAATAAAAGCCTAACATATTCTTCGTGGTGGTTGGAAAACGCACTACTCAGGGAGCTTCTGTTCCGTAACAATCCATTTGTAAATCCAGCCGTTGGCATAAATAGATATACATGCGAACGAAAATGACGTGAGATAAACAACAAAGACAAGACGTGTAATCCTTAACTCGGTGGAGCGGGTACCCAAAAGCTTGCACTGGAACTTGAGGCACAATGCTTTGGGAACCGCTTCAACCGTACGATTTGAACAACTGTGTTGCTTTTGTACTGAAAAAAACAAAAAAAATATTTGCTGCAAAGCAGGCCGCACAGATCTAAATGGGAAATTAAATTCTCCAAACACAGGGGGTCACTTCTGGCTTTTGTGTGTCTGCAAAGTTGTTGCGATGTGTCAGTTCGGATGACGTTCTTTTGCAGGTGCAAGACCAACAAATACGCCGTAGAACTCAAAATATTTCCAAAGCGAGGGGTCTTGGTTTCAGTTTCATCCAAAAATGCCAAAACCTTTTATCAAGGTTTACAATTGCGGCCGGCAAATTTTACTTCGCATTGCTTATTCCGGAGTTGTCTATTAAAGTCAGTAGCTAAGCTGGTCATTTGGAAAAATCGTAGCTCTGCGTGTGGCTCAATACTTATTTTTAGAACAGCGGACATAAGAATTCTTAGCAAATCTTTAAGTGTAAAAGCACTTGCAAAACAAGGACCATGCTCACGTCATCATAGAAGAAGGGCATTGGACAAACTTGGCCATCGGGTCCGACCATTCCAAAGCATTTCTCGTCAAAGACCCCGGGTTGCATGCAAACCTGAGGCGACTCAGTAACCACATCTTCGTTAACTGTAAATGCTGCTCCATCGTAAATGAACTCATTGGAGACCGCGGGGTCGGACTTATAGGTGAACTCAAGTAATTGTGGTTCCAGCATAAGAGAGTCCCCAGTAGCATTCACACAGGCTTGCCCTGGGTCAGTGTAAATGTAATCGCAACTGGCATTTTCAACAGGTGCAATAGGAAAGGGTTGGGCTGGCCTGGCCATCGGGACTAGAGGGTGGATGGCAGTTTCCTCCAGGTTAGTGCACTCGGCGGCGGACTTCTGGAGATTTCGCAACTGCAACAATATATTTCGGATGATCGTAAATAGATGAGTAACAATTTAAATATTTATGGTCCGGCAACAAGTTTAAGTTTGAACGGAATGTAATTAACAAAAGAAGGGAGAGTTGCATGGAGTGTCTGTATTTAAAGAAATATCTAGGCAGTTCATATCATAATCTGAACAAAATATTAAAGAAATACGGGAAGGTATCTTTCGATTAAAATGTACATTACAAATACTTACCAATTTAGATGAATAATATAAGTATTATTAATAATCAGGTATACTTTACAACACAAAAAATGACAATTAGAACGGTTGAGCATATCAGTAGGGGGCCAGGAAGTCAGTCGAAAGCATCCGCATAAAAGAAGCGTTATGCGCTCACAAACCATATGAAAATCAGTTGATTATACATGTTAACAAGCATTCCAGGGCACATCGCATAGGACCAAGCCGTAGGATGTCCTTCCATAGAAAACCCTACACAGCACGGTTCCGTCATCGTGGCAGACAATTTGAACAACTCCGTTAGACATACATTGCGTGACCGATCTCATGAAATGTTGGCTGAAATCCTGAACTTCGTTTTCGATCGGGAAGGGTTACTTAGGTGGGCTTGTAATAATGATTAGCGTGCGGCATAATCCTATAGCATTTCGGACTCGCCATGATGCCGGCTTTTGGATGCACTCTTTTTTGACCTCCTACAGAAACCGTACACCGTAAAAATGACTTTTTATGTAGCATTCATTTTTCCAATGGGTTTTCGATGGTCTTACAAATTCAAATATATTTTATAGACGACGTGCACAAAATAAGCTTTCTTTTATTCATTTTGCAGAAAATAACATTTTCTTAGCGTATATTAAGGTTTTAAAAAACTTCTAATTGTGAGATTTTTAAGACCGTGCGATGTCTATGCATACAGGACAGCACATTTTCGTTTACCACTGCTCATCATGAAATATACAACACAGTTCGGATCCGTTGAGAAATTTTATGCACTTTATGTGACATCTTTTTAAAGGCATGGAGGAATATATGATTTTCCTTACGCAGAATGCATGCACCTTGTTGACTGAAATCGCTGAGCACCGATGCAATGGCAGATCAGGCCCAAAATATTCGAGAATTGCGAAAATTTTTAAAACCTAAATATACACTTTCTTCGTGCTTAAAATGCAAAGAAAATGTTATTTTCTGCCAAATGAATAAAAGAAAGCTTTTTTGTGCACGTTTTCTATAAAATATATTTTAATTTGTAAGACCATCGAAAATCCATTGGAAAAATGAATGCTACATAAAAAGTCATTTTTTACGGTGTACGGTTTCAGTAGAAGGTCAAGAAAGAGAGCATCCAAAAGCCGGCATCATGGCGAGTCCGAAATGCTATAGGGTTATGCCGCACGTTAATCATTATTACAAGCCCACCTAAGTAACCCTTCCTAATCGAAAACGAAGTTCAGAATTTCGGCCAACATTTCATGAGATCGGTCACGCACTGTATATTCGAGCCGTAAAATGTGCGCACTGTGAGGCACTCAGTGTTGATTACATTCAAAGTGAGGATGTTCAAATATCCAACAGGTTCCTCAGGACCATAGTGTCTAGTACTAGCTAAGATTATACCACATCCCCTGGGAGAAGCGTAAATATGTTCGATAACTCAAACGCTCGACTATAACCCACTTTGCTTAGATGTGCACTAAAAACTTGATGGACGGCAGCAGATATTTAATACAAAGATCTCTTGAGCATTAGTCACATATCGGCTTAAAAGGATGGCAAATAACAGGGTTCGTTCCTAAACGCTCCTTTTTTATACTTTTACAGAACAGTTACCAACTGCTCGTTCAGCTAACTTGTCCCAATCTTGTATACGGACTTGCTTGTTTTTCGTTTCTTTCAAAGGTGTTTTTTAAGAAAAAAGAATTAACCAAAGGTTGTTGAGGAAGCCTTTGACGTCGATAAGTGCAGACATTTTAAATAAATATTGCCAATCAATTTTAACCTCCTTCGTATTTTAAAGTCCCGTTCAGCGGGTCTGGCCATAAAAAGTTTGATTTCGGAAAACACTATTTTTGGCCTCTGTCTTTTAGAGCGCCTCCATTTCTTCATTCTCCTTTGAAGGCTGACATCTAACATATTTCGGTAATGTAGACCATCTCCAACATCTCAATAAAGGTGGAAAGGAATTCTGAAACTAATGCTCAAGGTATTCTGCTCATATTTATTGTTGAAATAACCGAGAACGCCGGAAGAAACAGAAATGGGCACCAATACTTTCAAAATATTTTTGTTACCAGAACGCAAATAATAGAAAATATAAACCAATTTCCATAAAACCTTAGCAAATAAGACCTCTAAGTTGCCCTAGAAAACCCTGAACGTCATCATTACAGACCATACACTAGAGATAAGTAGGACTACATAACGGTAAACCTCTCACATTCTGTCATTCGGAACTCCTAAGCATTGTAGCTATTTGCAATAGCAAGCTACATTCCATACAGAGCTTTAACAGGCAGGTGCTGCTGGGGGAAATGGAACCAAGATGTCTATTCTGACGGTACAGAGGACCCGTATCCAAATCTTTTATTAACAGTGTACTAGCTACGACTCTGTATCATCGAATCATAGAGTACACGACCGCCTGAAAAGAACAGCTGAAGTTTTCGTATTTCATCCAACAAAAAGGTAAAAAATGAGAATAATTTCCACGAAGGGGTGAAGAAAGTGAGAGAAAAATGAATTCCATTAAGATATGAAAACCTGTTCATTCGCTTATTAGTTTAATACGTCAACAATGCAGCAACATGCCACTAGACGACGATATCTCAAGGAAATTTGTATGATGCAAATTTTAAAGAGAAATCTCCTGAGAACAATGTAGGCTAAAATGTCTAGATATCATGTAATTTTTCATGTATTTTGTTAAATTCTCGACTCCAGTAAGACAAAAATTATTATAACGGATTTCCGATATCATTTTCCTAAATTTTAACAACCATTCTTGCTTTTTTTATAAAAACCTGTCTGAATATCCATAGTCGCCTGTGCTATAGGGCCTGGTGGAATACGTAGTTTCTGTCAAAAACGCAAATACCTTAAATTTTTAAGTGCCCGATAAAACATAAAAAGAGATAATCCAAGCAAATTCATTCTGCCCCTAGAATTCTATGCAAATTGTTGTATAAGGCGAAAATCAAAAAGCGTTGTGAAGATACGATGTAATACAATAATAAGTTTTTAACGATCCCGTCAGTGTAACGAGCATCCTGTGCATAAAACTAATTGGGGTACTGTAAAATTTAAAAAATAGGCTGAGTAAGAGCCTACACTTTGAAATCATAAATTATAAAATAATTTTCTTTGGTAATCTTAGGGATGTTCTGTTATATTCGTGTCTCCAAAACTATCCTGTTCAACTACTCCTCAATGAATGATGAACATGTCGAGGCCTTCAGAAAAGCTTTTTGCATAAAAATCACAATTCGCAACGAATCACATTCTGGCAGAAGATGCACATATAATAAAACTTTTCTTTAGTAATGAATAGCAACGAAATACAGAAATATAAGCAAATTCTACAATGAAAACCCGTAATTGCCGGAGGCAATCTCGCAGAAACCTCTCGCATTTTAGGCTGCAAACCGAATTATATAAAGCCAGCTGATATGATGATCTAAATGCAATTATTTTATTATTTTGGGAGCTTTTTACAGCAATATGCTTTTTATCAGCTACTAGTAAAAATATGAAAATTAAAATTTTAAATTTAGCATACATCGAAAAACAGTACCTGCGTGCTGTTTTTCGTTATTCAGTCAGCGCCAAATCGATGTTGAACTCTGTCCCCAAAAATGCATTCACAGGATTGGAGCATTTTTAAAATTTACTTCTGATTTAGGCAACTCCGGCTCGTCAAGCACTTTTAGCCATGTTTTATGGCTGATCAGTAAATTTTAAATATTTTGCAGCCAGTTTTCAACGGCCAAAGGCGAAAAGTCCAAGACGCACTGTGGCCAAAGCCCTCAGTGTGTTTAAATGTTATGCAAGAGGCAACTCTGTCCGTATGTTTAAGTTTTGTGTGTCTTACTACTCCTCAAAGCTTTCCACGTCGCTCAGTCTCCTAGACTTTCCGTTCCATGGAAATCTTTTGCAGTGCCTATGACTTAATCTGATCTACGCCTCGACGGAGATCAATCGTTTATTGCTTTAGAATCACTTAACCATATCTAGCAACGAAGTCAAGTATATCAAGCGCTATATGCACTTACAACGCAAAAAATAAGATGTTACAATGCTATAAGTTACAATCAAGACAGTTGTGATGTGCGGTTAAAAACGGTGATGCAAAACTTCTTTTCGAAACGTCATCCTTTGAGTTTAAGAAAAAGACCTGTATTAATTAACTTATAACTAGTTCAGAAAGACGCATCATAGAAACGGTCATTACTGGTAGCAAGACTGTAAGTAAGACCAATGCTCGGTTACAACTTCCGAAAATTACGATCTACTTACTTTGTCCACCGATTCAAGGATGTGGTCAAGACAGCGGGCAAATTCGGCCAAAACCGCGTGTTCCTTGGCAACACTAGACTCATTTTTCTCCTCAGCTTCATAAAGCTGAGCCAGCATACATGAGCAAGAAACTTCGATAACTTCCGGTGTGATACAAGCGTTAAATAATCTGTGCTTATTGTTTGCGAATAAGAGCAGCTTACGGTTGCATATTGCTTACTGAAGAGTGGTCGGAGCTTTGAGGAAAGGACATATCGAAAGGCTGCTTGTTTCTTCCATCAAGCAACACTTGCCTTAAGGAACAGGCTAAAACATTATTACTGAACATTTCTTACTTTAACGCACCCTTTCGACCGTTAGACTTGCTGAAGACCGCCTGAGGCATATTTTGTCGTGAGAATTCATCGAAATTCCTGCACCCTTGACATCTACAAAGGTCAGAGCAGCTGATTTTAGCCTAAAGCGTGAGATAAACGTGTGATTTCGTGCCTCGTAACATTCGCAGTAATTTTTAAGACAATTCGATCGTTTGCAGTTACAACCCTTTGAATGTTTTCTTTCGGAGGATCCTAAAAACCTCGAATAAAAAAATCAGATCACCTATTTTCGGATAGAACGCGAAGGGATTTCTTTCCAATGTTAACTTTATTGCTTTATTTCGCTCATTTTCGAAGAGGATATTATTCATACAATTTGAACAGTTACAACCATTGCATGGCTGGCCCCTTGCAAAGCATTCACAGTAAAGCTTTAAACAGTGCGATTTAGCGCAGTTGCAGGCTTTTCGGCCATTTTTATGTTGCTGGATGGATAATGTTTGTTGCTGGTAGAGGTCAGCTTCATTGAAAGCGGTGTCTTTGCCTGTGGAATCTAAATCAATCAACGCCTGTATAACTGCGGCCTGAGTCCGACAGTCAATCTGATAGGTCTTAGGGTCTTTTTGAAATTCTTGAGCGTCGGAAGGGCCTTCGCTAACTGGGATTGGGTTTTGGTTAGTGAGCTGCTCAATATCGGCCCCATCAACATACATTTTCAGCAAAGTATTGAACCTCGCTCTGTAGGCAGTTAACGCGCCCAACGATATAAACAAATTAAAATTATCTGCGGCCTCGGCATTCCACAGTTTTATCCCTCTGACAGAGAATGAGGACTTCCGCATATCTTATCTTGCTCGCCAAATGCGCAGTTCTAATGGGTGCACTTGGACACTGGTCATGGTGTTAAAATTAAAAGGTCCTCAAATATCAGTTTCCTGTTCAATCCCTTCACAATTTGGAATGCTTGAAAGAGATTCCACGCAGACGCTGGCAGCTGGAAGTAAAGAGATTAAGACTTCTTAAGTGGGCTGCATAGGAAGATAAACTCTGATGCCTGATCACTTTCATGGTTCTGCTCTTCACACTTTCAAGACTATTTTGATCTTTAACTCGCGCAGATGCCCCTATTGATCATATTCTGACTAACCATAGCAAGCTTTTTTGCGTAAAAACAGGGCTCCATTGTCAGGTTCTGACCATTCCACTTTATTGTGCCTTCCAAAAATCTATTCCATTTCAAAACGTGCACTGCTTGCCAAGCCTGAGAGAAAGGTTAATGTTCGCAACACATCCGCCCAAAACATTCTCATGCTTCAGACTTGCATTTCTCTTACTATCCCCACTTTCCTTGAACATTCTAATGTTGAATCCTGTTCTTCCAACCTGACAGCGTTTTTAAAGGAAATTTTCGATATTTGCTGCCCTTTTGATACTGTTATGGTACGACCGGATAGAATTTCTTCCCCCTATCTGAAATCGTTAAAACGTAAAAAAGAACTCCTTTGCAAGCTAGGCTTACGTGATAACCTTAAGGACGTTACCGTCTTAATAAAAACAGAGATTAACAGGCTAAATAGCCTGTTTGTCAGCCAACTTTTTTCCTCTTCTTACTCCCCCCCTTTCCCCCCTTCCTCAGCCGCGATTTGGAAAAATCTTAAGCGTCTCACTGGTCATCGCAACACGCTGGTGATTGTGGATGCAGATTTAGACTCCCTAAATAAAAATTTTATATTTAGTCACAATGACTCCCATCTTCCCTTAGAAGACATTCCCCTATCACCGAGTACATTCCAACCCGTGTCTTTGGCAACAGTAGAGAAACACCTTAAAAAGGTCCGTGGATCAACAGCTGCCGGACCGGATGGTGTCTCGCCTTTTCTTCTTAAATCTTGCAGTTCTCAGATAGCCCCTGTTTTAACGCACCTAATCAATATGTCTTTCATGGAGTCCAAGATTCCCGACACCTGGCGTACAGTGAGAATCACTCCCATCCCTAAAAAGCCTGCTAACTTTGGTCCTAAATCTTTTCGCCCAATTGCCTGCTCCTGTAGGCCTTTGTACACTTTTGATTTGTTCCACTACATTGCTTGTACACCTGACCTGCCTGTACATTTGTTTGACTAAACTGAGAATACACTTTTTTGAACAACGCTACGGCGGTCAACATGTGTTCTGGTCTCGAGCGTGTTTGACGTCGTTATTTCTTGACGTGCGCTTGTCATCTCTCAATTCTCTTAGCAACTCGTTCGTGCTGCCGGAGACTTCCTCCTCGAATCTAACTTCAACGGACCATCGCGGAACCTAGAGCCTCCCTTCAACCATTCCTCCATCGGGACACTATCTCCCTACTTGATAGGATTCTACCTTACGTGAGTCTGGAACATTCCTTTTCTGGTTCTTTCAATCTGTACATTCCTTTTTGTTCGTAAACACAATTCCCCCATTCGTAGTTAGTTTTTTTTGCAGATATTATCGTTTGTAGTTTCTAAGTCCACATTTACACTACAAAACTGGTGACCCCGCTTTTTCCTGCATTCCGAACCTTTTTTTCCGTTTACCATGGCCAGTGACGACTCCCAAAAAGACTCACTCGACATTAACACCCTTTCTTTTAAACTGCCACCGTTTACCGCGAGCAAGCCTCGCGTTTGGTTCAGGCAGATCGAGGCTCTTTTTGTGACAAGCCGCATTACCATCGAGCGTACCCGCTATTCGTACGTTTTGCAGTCACTCCCTTTTGATGTAGCGGTCACCGTCGAAGACCTCCTTGACCCCATTCCAGCCGACAAACCATATACGCTGCTGAAGGAAGCGGTTATCCAACGGGTAGCTAAATCGGCTAACCTTATGCTGCGGGAACTTTTCACTCAAGTAGAGCTAGGTGATCGGACACCTTCTCAGCTCATGCGTCACATGCGCTCACTCCTCGCTGGTAGGCACATGGATGACGCCATTTTTCGCGAGATTTGGTTAGAAAACTTACCGGTGCCTATGCAGCAGGTTTTGGCCATGTTGGACTCGAATACATCTTTAGAGAAACTAGCTACCCACGCCGACCGAATCAAAGAGTGTTACCCCATGGGTGCCTCGTGTTCCACTATTCAACAGCCACCGCCTTCCAAAGGCAAGCCCCATCAGGGCATTGACTCTGATTCAGAAGGCCCACCATTACCAGCGCACGACACTCCCTATTCGGAAAAAGCGTCATGCTCTTGCACAACCCGACGCGCGCCCACATCAGCCGGTCCCCCCAGAACACCCACCGCCGCTTATCGCACCGATTACGACGACCTGAGAGACACTGTGCGTCTCCTTTGCACTCAGGTGAGCAACATGTGCTCTGCGCTTAACAGTCTTCAAGCGGCTAGGAGACAGCCATGCTCACATCGACGGTCTAAATCCCGTGAGCGGCGTTCACAACCCTTATGTTGGTATCACCGCACTTATGGCCCGAAAGCCCGAAAGTGCATACCTCCTTGTTCGTTCGCTTGTCCTCCACAGTTAAACGACCACGCCAGCCAGTAATAGCGACGACTGCTGCTGGCCCGTCGCGAACCAGTCGCCTTTTCTATATCGATGACAAGTCGAGCGGCCTTCGTTTCCTGGTCGATACCGGTGCCGAGGTCAGTGTCATCCCGCCTCTAAGGCGTCACCGCCTCAAGCCATCGCAATTCTCATTGTAGGCTGCAAACAGCACCACAATCAGCACCTACGGCCAACGGTCCCTCACTTTAGATCTTGGTCTCCGGCGACGTTTTCAATGGGTCTTTATTGAGGCTGACGTCAAATCGCCCATTATCGGGGCCGACTTTTTGTCATCTTTCGGCTTAACAGTCGATGTCAGACACCGTCGCCTCTCAGACACCACCACCCAACTCTTTACTATAGGTACCAGTAGCTCTGAACGGTCGGTTGGCATTCATGTCACCATCCCCAGCACCCCTATCGCTGACATTTTGAAGGACTACCCGTCCATCACTAAACCATGCCATTTTACCGAAACCGTTCAACACGGAGTGAAACACCACATTGTCACGGCAGGGCAACCAGTGCACGCTCGTCCGCGTAGACTCCACCCTGACAAACTCCGAATAGCAAAGAACGAATTCGACCATATGAAGAATCTGGGCATTATACGCCCTTCATCTAGCCCATGGGCCTCACCACTGCACATGGTGCCAAAGAAGTCCCCTGACGATTGGAGACCGTGCGGTGATTATCGAGCCCTAAACAGGTCCACAATCCCTGACCGGTACCCCATTCCCCACATTCATGACTTTTCCCACATGTTAGCCAGCAAAACTATTTTTTTCCAAGATAGACCTCGTCAGGGCGTACCACCAAATCCCGGTCGCGGAGGAAGATATCCCAAAGACCGCTATCACGACACCCTTTGGGCTGTTCGAATTTATTCGCATGCCCTTTGGTTTGCGCAACGCTGCCCAGTCGTTTCAGCGCTTCATCGATGAGATCTTGCGGGGCCTTCCATTTGCTTACGCCTACATCGACGACATACTCGTCGCAAGCTCTTCGGCAGAGGAACATGCCTCGCATTTACGCCTCATATTCGATCGTTTCCAGCAACACGGTTTGCAATTAAACGCAAGCTCTTCGGCAGAGGAACATGCCTCGCATTTACGCCTCATATTCGATCGTTTCCAGCAACACGGTTTGCAATTAAACGTCGACAAATGCCTTTTTGGCGTTAATTCTCTCGATTTCCTTGGCCACCACGTCGATCAGCACGGAATCACTCCACTTACAAAGAAGGTGCAATGCATCTTGTCTTTCCCTGTTCCCAACACACTCACTCAGCTGCGACGTTTCATAGGCCTTATCAACTATTACAGACGTTTTATTCCCCACTGTGCGGCAATCCTGGCTCCCTTGACTGACCTTTTGAAGTCGAAGGCAAAACCTATTGAACTTTCACCGGCAGCCCACACAGCTTTTGAGGAAGCGAAAAAGGCTCTTGCCGATGCCACCATGCTGCACCACCTCAGCTCTGCCGCTCATACACAGCTCATTTTGACCACCGACGCTTCCAGCAGGGCTGTCGGCGCAGTCTTGCATCAACAGGTGAATAACCAGTTGCAGCCTTTAGCTTTCTTTTCACAGAAGCTACAACCGGCGCAGACTCGCTACAGTACTTTCTCTCGCGAGCTCCTTGCCGTATACTTGGCCATACGTCACTTTCGACACCTTTTAGAGGGCAGAGACTTTTCGGTCCACACCGACCACAAGCCTCTCACTTACGCCCTGAAGGCCAAGCCAGATCGGTACTCGCCCAGGGAAGTTCGTCACCTGGACTATATTTCGCAGTTTACTGCCGACATCCGCTACGTCCGAGGCAGCGACAATGTCGTTGCTGATGCATTATCCCGTCCGGACATCAACACACTCACATCCGATTTCGACCTGGCAAGGCTTGCAGACCTCCAAACAGCAGACGAGTCCATCGCGGACTTACGTACGTCTACTACTCTGCAGCTTCGAGATGCACCACTTCCTGCGTCACCAGGTACGATTTTGTGCGATTGGTCCACAGGCACCCCTCGTCCTGTTGTTCCACTATCCTATCGTAAGGTCGTCTTTGACCACTTCCACTCCCTCTCCCACCCTGGCATTCGCGCTGGACGTAAGTTAATCGCGGCTCGTTTTGTTTGGCCGAAGATGAATTCCGACATTGCTCTTTGGACTAAACAGTGCCTCGCATGCCAGAAGAACAAGGTTCATCGACACACTTTCTTCCCTCCAAGTACCTTTGCGGTCCCGGAAGTTCGATTTAATCATGTTCACTTGGATTTTATCGGACCGTTACCCCCTTCACGTGGGTACACACATATCCTGACGGCCGTTGACCGTTTCACACGTTGGCCGATTGCCATTCCTATCACGGATACCTCGGCAGAAAATATCGCCATGGTTTTTCTGACCCACTGGATCTCAACTTTTGGTGTTCCAGCCACCCTTACCACCGACCGCGGAAGTCAATTCCAATCTAGCCTCTTCCGTGAGTTCACAGACTGCTCGGGTGCGCGCACATCACAACCACGGCATATCATCCTGCCTCCAACGGTCTCGTTGAGCGTCTACACCGCCAACTGAAGTCCGCACTGATGTCCCAAACAGGGTCAGCTACTTGGAGTGTCAATCTCCCTCTTGTGCTTTTGGGCATCCGATCTTCTGTCAAGGAGGACATCCAATGCACCGCCGCCGAACTTGTGTACGGTACACCCTTCCGTCTGCCTGGTGAATTGGTGCAGCCTTCCACAACAAACACTAACATCACGAGCACCTTTGTACAGCAGTTGAAACAACGCATGGCTCAACTGCGTCCAACCCCCACTCGTCTGACCTCGAAACACGTGTTTGTACACGAGGACCTTAAATCCGCCCTTTTTGTTTTTGTCCGGCATGACGCAGTGCGCAAGCCCCTTTGCTCCCCCTACGATGGCCCATATAAGGTCGTTCAGCGGAATGACAAGTTTTACGTCCTTCAAAAGGCTGATAAGACCGACACGGTCTCCATTGACCGCCTTAAGCCAGCCTATCTGGAGTGCCTCCCGTCGACCAGTGCGCCATCCATTCCCCCTACTACGTCCTCACCCGATACACCCACTCCGCTCACCTGCCCTCCATCACCACACTTGACCATTCTACCCACCCAACCGGATCCTCCTCCTACACCACCGCCTAGTACGTCTCGCTCCGGTAGACATATCCGTTTTCCCGCCAGACTTAAAGACTTTGTAGTGTAATTTTTTTCCCGTTTAATTTTATCGAGCGTTTTGTTTCTTCGGCAAACGCTCTGGTGGGGGAGTTGCGTAGGCCTTTGTACACTTTTGATTTGTTCCACTACATTGCTTGTACACCTGACCTGCCTGTACATTTGTTTGACTAAACTGAGAATACACTTTTTTGAACAACGCTACGGCGGTCAACATGTGTTCTGGTCTCGAGCGTGTTTGACGTCGTTATTTCTTGACGTGCGCTTGTCATCTCTCAATTCTCTTAGCGACTCGTTCGTGCTGCCGGAGACTTCCTCCTCGAATCTAACTTCAACGGACCATCGCGGAACCTAGAGCCTCCCTTCAACCATTCCTTCATCGGGACACTATCTCCCTACTTGATAGGATTCTACCTTACGTGAGTCTGGAACATTCCTTTTCTGGTTCTTTCAATCTGTACATTCCTTTTTGTTCGTAAACACAATTCCCCCATTCGTAGTTAGTTTTTTTTGCAGATATTATCGTTTGTAGTTTCTAAGTCCACATTTACACTACACTCCTCTGCAATACTAAAGCTTGCTGAAAGAGTTGCCCAAAATATAATAAAGCCTTTTTCTTCCAGTTTTTCCGACCCCTTACAATTTGCATACAAAGTTAAGCGGAGTACTTTAGATGCTGTCGCTCTTGTGGTCCACTCTGCTCTAAAAGCATTAGACAAGGGTTGCCGCGAGTATGCGTGCGCTTTTCTTGATTACTCCTCCGCCTTCAATACCGTCCCGCGTCCTCTTCTCCTTTCCAAAACCTCCGCATGTGGCTCTCCAGGCTGGGTCGTCTCTTGGCTGAGCGATTATTTTACCTTCCGCACCTAATTTTTCCAATCTGGCAAGCGAAAATCTTCGACCCTTCCCAATGACTGCGGTGTTCTTCAAGGTTCCATTCTATCCCCTCACCTTTTCTCTCTCCACACTGATGATCTCAGGTCCCCTAATGACTGTCTTCTGGTCAAGTATGCTGACGATGTGGTTGTTGGACACCCTCTCAAAAGTCCGACACACCTCTGGTCTCTGAAGGATGGCCTAAACCATGTCCTAGCGTGGTCGGAGGAAAATGGTCTCCTAATTAACAACCAAAAATCCGTTCAGTGTATTTTTCGACTGCGGCCCTCTCCTAACCCTGATTCCTCTGACATTCTTCCTAATGAGTTATCCTCTTTCAGGTATCTCGGCGTTACTTTGTCCTCAAATCTTTCTTTTTCCCTCCATATTGAGTCCCTATTTATTAAAGTTCGTAAACTTCTTTACTACATTCGTCGTTTACGTTCCTACCACACACCTCAACCCTTAGTCTGGCGATTCATTGATGCCTGCATTCTTCCTCTTATCCTATACTGTTCGCCTGTCGTTTTTCCTGCTTTGTTAAAAAAGGATCTTTTAATTTTGAAACGAATCCTCCGCATGCTCTCTTCTGCTGCTGGCGTTTCTTATATTTTTTTAGTTGACACAATCTAACAACGACACTTCAATGCGGTCAAGCAATTTGCTGGTCGAATTCTAGATGACGTTGTCCATCCCCTACATTCCGATCTTATGGCTGCCAAGTCTTCCCGCCCGAAGCGCCGCAACTTCCGTCTTATACCCTGTCGCACATCGGCTTATCGAGCCTCTGTGTTGCCATTCCCAGCGCGCTATCTTACGTGCGAAGAGACCGAAATACAGAAGCTCAGACTGGAACTATCCCCATAATAATCGTTTCTTTGACTGTTGAATAATCTCTTAACTTATTTACTACCCACTGTGAATGGAGCCAATTTTTTGCTGAAAATTTTGAACCTACGATTTCAAAATAAAGCGCATTTCCTCTCTTCTCTTCCTCTCTTTAACAGTCCCCTCTCTCCAGTATTGTATGTCGTATTTGAAATGGGGCCTCACGAATATATCGACGATCTTGGAGACAGGATATTCATTAGAATTGACGGGTACTCGCTTGAGGACGTACAACACGGATATTACGCTTTTTGCCAATTTTGGACAATGAGTGGATGAGAGTGGAGTTCGTCGTCGGCACACGGATGTTTTTTGCGTCTCCGCGTCTCCTAAAGTTGCGTCGCCGAGGAAATAGTTTCTTGAGCTGGTGGATTTGGCTGGGTTGGCTAGACGATATATGGCACGCCTGCCGGCGTTTAACTGCATGAGTCAACGATTTGATCACTCCTTCAACCAATTTAGGTTCATCTCTATTCCTCTGCCGACAGGACCCCGGACAGCACTTCATCTCTTCTATATTGTTAATGTACATTGCTACTTGCTGCCCAAGTCTCTTGCATAATCGTTCACATATATAATTACCAAAATGGGCAGCAGTACTGAACGCTGGTAAACACCAATCTAGACCACAACAGGACCTGATTTCTCTTGGCCGCTGCACTCAAAATGGCGTCGACCCACAAGGACGTTGTCGATCAATTTAAGGAAGTTACCGGTGCTCCCCATTCTTCGCAGCTTGTGAAAGAGTCTCTGGTTTACCACGGCGTCGAAGGTCTTTGGAAGTCACTGAAAGCGATGTGAACTGCGTAAATGTTGTCTAGAGCTCGGGTCCGACTCTGGAGAGATTGCGGTCAATTTGTCTTTAGGATCTTTCTTGATAGAATCCGTGTTGGCAGGTTTATAGCAAGTTGTGACCTTCTACGAACTGCAGCTACTCGCTCCCTATCGTCCGCGCTGAGAATAAATAAATAAATTGTCTTACTAATAATTCTGGGGGTGCTGTCATAGCAAGTAATATAGATTGTCAAGTGAATTTTAAAACAGGTAGGCAGATACCATACAGTGTTCAGCTCGTGCTAACATAATAGGCAGTCTGATATGACAAAAAATAACTTTCGAACAGAGGAAAAGATCTTTTTTCGAAAAGGACAAAATGAATGCGTTTTGATTAGTTTTTAAGGAGAAAAACCCGTCGCTCATGGAAAGTTAAATATGCGGGTTAGACAGAACCTTCCTGCACGTGGTAGCAGCAGAAGCAACTGTCGAGGTGGTGAGACGCGAGGAAACCAGACGCGATTGGTTATAGCCTACTTAGAATCCAGCCGAGTGGACATTAAAGCCGGAGGTGATCATCAAAGCGTAGGAAGTGCGATCATGACACTTTATTTCTGACGGACCAAAATACTAGCAGATGGCGAGAACAGAGGATTTCGTCGTGATCGTCAATTGGACTCGAAATAAGGTGGCATCAGAAACCGCGAAGATTTTCGCTGCAGAGAACAAGTAATAACGGCGGGTTCAGTAGCCAATTAAAATAGAGGAATGTCGGAAAATAACTGAGACTTTCCACTTAAGCAAGTAAATCACTTATTATCTATCTATAAGTTCAAGGAGGATCATTTTTAAAGTCCACAATTCGTGCGTTCGGGAATAAAACGGCCAGTTGTGATTTTATGCTTTTCACTGTAAGCTGCTTTGATGGGACCCCGACGGGTCTTTAATAAAAATTATCTATCTATCTATCTAAATTCGATTTGAATACCGATAACTGAGGCAATGTCCAAAATTTTAGCGGAGGATTATTCCAAAGAAAGGCATATTTGGATCCACAAAGGAGGGTCGCTTAGGTGTTGAGCAAAGACGCGACGGAATCACCATGAGGGAACCACGCGTGATATAAGACCTGCCTCACGAAGTGAGATTGTAAATGCGCGGGAGATTTGAGCCAGAGCTAATGCGGAACAGGAAGCCAACATCTGCTTCGAGTCTTCTAATTCATAGAAAGTTGACAAATAAACTGTTTTATTAAGTACGACTGGGGGTACTATTATGGTTCTTGTTATCTTGCTACAATAAATGGCAGATGCAGCCTGAAGGAATAGTTTTCGAGTAAAAACCGTCTGAAAATTTTCGAATTCGTTACGATCACAGGCGTTAATCAAAATAAAGAAAGAATAGCAATACTCGAGGACGCGAAGAACAAAAATTGCATGTCAAGTTTATGAACCTGTCATTCCTTATCTAAACCCTGCTGTCGCCGTTGTATAGGGGTGCTATTTGCCCCAGCTTTCAATCCATAGAGCGAATCCCAGTGCCAAATAACACCTGAAAGTGCATCAACAGAGGCACAAAAGTCATTAGAAAGTTCTTCGCGAAGCTTGAGTGAAATCTTATCTGTTTCTGTGGACTTTGATTCGTCCGATGTCTCTTCTTCTCTTCGAATAAGACATAATGAAAAGAGTGCATTGCTTATGCATGAAGTCGACAGATCTACTGTGGCAGGAAGAAGGAACCTGGCTTCATCTGTGTAGGCCGATTGGTAAGTTGTGAAAAATACGCAACCTTATTCTGTTTTCAGCTATTTGGACGCTATTAAAAGCCTTTATTAAGGTGGTTTGACGTCTTTTCCTTGTACTTGTTCGTAGGTAGCTATAGAGTAATTTCGGGTTCTGCTTTGACTTTGCAGCAAATTCTGTGCCTGTATCTCTGTGTTTTCTAGTTGTTGAAATATTCAACTTTCCTGGTGACGGAGCATTTTCTCAACAATTTATTTAGGTCGATAGTTAAACACCCAGACCGCTTCTTCCGCTTTATACTCCTCAGTTGGCACTGGTTGTTAATAAGCCGCAAAAGGGGATTCTTGATTAACTCCCAATCCTCGTTGGCATTGCACACAAACAAAGAGATTAAATCGAGAACAGATAAGTCTGCCCCAGTCTGGTTGAAGTCGCCCCGCCAAATGTCACATCTTTTTGTCAAGAGTGTGCAAGACGGTGAATAAGCAATAATTCCTTTTAAGCAATACATGATCAGTTCGCTCGAGCGGGACATGGAGATGAACATGTGTGTACCGTCTGATGTTTTCACAAATACTAAATACAGACAGTAAACCCTTTGTCTTTTAACTTGTTCTGGTTGGAAGCCTTACAAGTTTTGTGAAAAGCATCTTCCATTTTTCTTATGTAGCATACAATATTCTAAGGGTGATTTTGAACCTGACGCATGAGCAGTGTTCCAGTTATTTTCTGGTGTGGCTGACTGTTGGCG